CAGGGGCGGCTTTTTAGGCCCTCAGGCCTAACCAGCTACGGCTGCGTGGCGCTGCGTATCCTGGCAACCGGGGTGGGGTGAAGAAGGGCCCTGCGCCTGATTGGTCAATCCTGGGCCTAAGATCCGGTACCCACAAACAAACGAGATCAAACTTCTATCGCGATATTCGAGAACTAGCCTTGTTTTTTTCAACTCATTTTTGGAAGAAATGACAACAGGCAGGTTGACTAGAAAAAAGGAGAACATTGTATTGAGACACTTTGGTTTTCTTGACAATAAGTGGGACTTCTGAGTGCCCGACCTGAACCGATTCTATGTAATCTGATGCTCATACCCCAAACATGTATACGAACCAGACTTTAGGGAGTTTACTTAAGAAAGGGTGAAAGCCTTGGCAAGTACACCCAGTGTCTAAGACTGCAAAGGTCTATCTGTAGCAACCAATGTCCAGCATCAGTATGTTGTTGCAGGCAGCAGTGCTTGTTCTTAGTGCTGTTCTCAAGAGGGAAAACATGGCAGAATAGCATGATGGCGCAAGGTTGCGCAGTGCAGGACATAAACAGAAGCAGAGAAGCAGAAGGGCTGGGGAAGGAGAGAGAGAAGATATATTCTGTTGTTTTTAAGATGCCTGTAATCCCAGTGACTTGGGAGGCTGAGGTAGGTGGATCCCAAGTTTCGGGCCAGCCTGTGCAAATCAGTAAGACCTTTTTTCAAAATAAAAAAGGACTGGGGATGTAGTTCAGTGGTAGAGTGCCACTGTGTTCAATCCCCAGTGCTAGGGGTATGGTTGGGGATAGATAAGGGACTATGTAAATAATCATAAATTTATTGTAACAGTATTTGTGTCTTAAGTTCCTGTCTGGCTCAGGACAGGAACTCTCTCTTCCTGGAATCCGTATTCCTGTGCTTTTCACTGTCAAAAGTCTTGTTCATCATTCAAGTCTTAACCCATATGTTCTTTCTTCAGAGAATTCTCTGGCACTCCACTGAATTAATCTCCAATTCCCTCTGCCTCTTCCCTATTCAACATCCCCAATGCACCCTGTGTTTTTCCTACTAAAAAACTCTGAAAGATAAACTTTAGCATATGTTTCAGTTAGCTTTTGCATCACTGTAAATGAAATATCTAACAGAATAACTTCAAGGAGAAAAGTTTATTTGGGGCTCATGGTTTCAGAGAATCCACTGGTGGCTGACTTCATTGCTGTGGGTTCAAGGTGAGGTACAACATCATGGTGGAAAAATTCAGTGGAGTAAAGCTAGCTACTCAGCTCCTTGTGGGGTCAGGATAGAGCAGAAAGCAATAGGGCATTCCCACAGTGACTGACCTCCTCCAACCATGCCCATCTGCCTAGAGGTAAGACCTAGTCAGTCTATTCCAACTAAGATGGATTGATGAGGTTACAACTCTCATGATCTTATCATTTCACCTTCAAATATTCCTGCATTGACAGTAGTTTTTGAGGGATACCCCCCAATATCTGAACTATAACAGCATGTGAAAAGTTTAAAGAGCTTGAGCAGGTAGCAGTTGTAAACCAGAAGTGGTTTAGGACTCTGTTAGAGGTGGCTGAAGGCAAACATTTTATAGAGTTTATGTAGAAGCAGAATAAAGATTATTTGAAGCTGGGAGTGGTGGCATATGCCTGTAACCCCAGCTATTTAGGTGACTGAGAGGAAACCAGACTCAGCCAAAGAATTATACACACACACATATATATATATATATCCATAGTCTGGTTGGCCTATTGGTCATTTGACTAACCCTAAGATAACAACCAAGAGATTACTTGTTATTGAATAAGGTCAGTTATGCCAGAGCCCATCGAAGAAAAAAGTCACACAAAAAACAATGGATATTTGCAGTATGAATGTAGATTTTAAAAAAAAAAAACAAACTTTCAGAAATAGCATCATTAAATTTTTCTAGAGCAGAATACAGATGATATTAATGAATGTGTTAGTGAATATTTACATCAAGTGAAAAAATACTAGATCCACTGATGGCAGTGTCTATGGAAAGAAAATGGCTATGAAAATTCAATGTACATGTCCTTTGACCAGCAATTGCACTTCTAGCAATTCAGCATATATTCTTTTTAAAAAATATTTTTTGCGTTGCCAATGGACTTTTTTATTTTTATTTATTTATATGTGGTGCTGAGAATTGTACCTAGTGCCTCACCCATGCTGCACAAGCGCTCTACCACTGAGCCACATCCCCAGCCCTCAGCATATATTCTTATTGGATTCATGTACATATATAACACATATGTTCATAACCAAGGTTATTCATTTGAACAGTATTTGTTACAGCAAATGACTAGAAAAAAATCTAAACACACTGATTAAATAATACTAGAGCCCTAAAATCTCATTATTTGATTATTTAAAAAATGGGATGGACACATGGCTCAGAGATACACTTGCCCAGCATGTGTAAGGCCCTGGCATCATACTGAGAATCAAAACTGTAATGCATAACTCAGTTTACATAAATTTTAATATTTGGTCTGGATTGGGTAACTATACTGTTTTTTCTGGAAAAAATTTGTAACATCATCTAGAGTAGTCCTACATGCCCTCAGGCACATGGCAGGAGAATCCAGAATTTGTCACTTTGTACACAGATGGAGAGTAAGAAGAAAATGTTTTAAATGTATGAATTGCTTAACATGTAAAATATTGTAGAGCTCAGTTTTGTGTTCACAAAACTTAAGTTTAGTCTGAGCTCCATTACATTCTTGCTATGTGATTTAAGTTATTTCAGTTGTTAACTAATTTAAAAAATACTATTGAACACGTGTCATATATGAGATTGTTAGATAAGTTGGCTGATCTTCTGCCCTCACTGATTCCATGTATTCCCTGATTACACAGGAGGCTCCCTTCAGAAAGTCCAGAGGAAAATTAGGCAGCTTTTGATTGGCAGCTTAAATTTCCTTTTACTGTTGAGTTCGGCTTTAGTGCAGGAGCAATAGCACAATGGCCTCCTTGTTGATTTATATATATATTTTTTCTGGTGCTGGGGATTAAACCCAGGGGTGCTCTACCACTAAGTTACATCCCCAGTCCTTTTCATTTTTATTTTGAGACATGGTCTCACTAAATTGCTCAGACTGGCCAGAAACCTGGGGTCCTCCTACTTCAGCTTCTAGCATTGGATTACAGGTGTGCACAATCACACAATTCAACAGCTGATCTGTTTGTTGTTAATGAGGCAAATTCTTTATTTGTAAAATGGGAGTAATAAAACCATCTGCCTTGCAAGGTTATTGTGAGGACTAAAAGACTGAAAATTGCTTTGTACAGTGGAGAAAGGTTCACCGAAGATCTGGTATATATGTCAGTAAACTAGATGGTTGACATTTGAGATGACAGAAGGAAATTTAGTCTGGTAGAAAAGACACACACATTTATGTGTTAAAATTCAGTGAATACTACATTGAAGATAACAAAATTGCACTGGTCTACAGAAGAGCCAGAAGATGATAAACTGATGTTGAAATGCGACAGGTGGTAAAAGGCATTATAGGTTTTTTTCATTTGTTTTTAAGATTATGTACAAAAAGCATGGAAACATGAATAGCATGATGTGTTCAGGAATGGTGCTAAAGTCAATACGGTTGAGGGATGGGAGGAGGCACCAGAGATAAATCTGGAAAGGAGATATAAAAGACCTTGTATATTGCTATACTCAAGAATGGAAAACAAAGGTTACTGAACGAAGGAATAACACAATCTAATTTTTAGAAAGATAATCCCATTTTAATGTGTAGAATTGGCTGGAGAGTAGGGGCAAAGAGTCTAGAATCATGTTGAAATTTAAGCAAGAAACTCTGGGGCGCGGTGAGGCATGCCTGTAATCCTAAGGGCTCCAGAGGCTAAAGCAGGAGGATCAGGAGTTCAAAGCCAGCCTCAGCAATAGGAAGGCGCTAAGCAACTCAGTGAGAGCCTGTCCCTAATTAAAATACAAAATAGAGCTGAGGATGTGGCTCAGTGATTCAATCCCCGGTAGTCCCTTCTCCGCCTCAAAAAGCAAGAAACTACTAAGTAGAGATTTCTAATAGCTAGAAATTCGGATCTAGAGTTTGGAGATATCAATCAGGGGATATACATTTAGAAATAAGCAATAGTAAACAGTCTACCCAGGAAGAAGTTGCTACAGCAAAGCAAGTATTAAGATGTCAACATTTCAGGACTAAAATCAGAAACAGAAACCAGAAGAGTGGTGATTCCAAACTTCGAATGAGAATTTTAAGAGGAAAGAAGTGAGAAAGGCGCTAACTGGACTTGGCAATTTAGAAGGGGTTGTGGCGAAGTGAAATTGGTGGGAGGGAAATTGTTGGAGGACAAATCTTGTGGACAGTCGCACTCAACGTGGTCCAACGACGACAGGCAACATCACCCGGGTGTGCTTAAAAACATATATTCTCAGGCCCACCCTAGATCTACAGAAGAAAAAAGCCACCAGACGAATGGACATACTGCCTGAAAGAACGGACACGGACCACCATACTCATTAGCTAATCTGATAGCAGTGGGCAAGGAGACTGGGATAATTTTGAAACGAGGCAAGCGAGGTTAGTTTGACTCCAAGGGTTTCTTGTTTTCATTGAAAAACAACGTTTACCTTGTAAAAGTCTCAGGAGACTCCGTAGAGAAGGCGGGGAGAAAATGGGGTAAGTAAGCCCTAACACAGGAGTCACGAAGCAATCTCCACCGCTACGCAGGGCGCAGCGCGGAGACTCCAGATTTAAAATATCCGGGTTTGGCTCACAGGCCGCTCACACCCCGCTGACGCGCGGCACTGTGGGATTTGTAGTTCTGGCGCGAATCCCGTATTACAAGAAACAGTTCCGCCAAGGCACAGCAAGGGACCAAGTAAGCAAAGCACCAGGCTCGGCCTGCACAGAAAGACCGGGCGTGGTTCTCTCTTCCTCCACCGGCGATCCAGAGAGCAGGAGGGGAGCGAGCCGCAGCCCCGAGTCGGCCTCGACAGTCGGGACGCACAAACTCTGCGTCATGGCGGGCTGAGGTGGATGATGAATTCCGGCGTGCAAGTCAGGGTTGCTGTGTCACTCGGCTCGCTCGGCGCGCCCCTTCCCCGCCGCCCTTCCGCACCGGCTCCCAGGCTCTTCCGGTCTCCCGTCGCCCCTCACCTGCAGGCCCAACTCCCGCGGCAGCCGGTGCACGCCAGGTGTGCCCTGTGGACGGATCTCGCACAGTGCCCGGGTTCCGGGCGTCCGACCCACACGGGCCATGGCGAGCGGCGCCGCCAGGTACCGGCTGAGCTGCTCCCTCCAGGGCCACGAGCTGGACGTGCGGGGCCTGGTGTGCTGCCTCTATCCGCCGGGAGCCTTTGTGTCGGTGTCCCGAGACCGCACCACCCGCCTTTGGGCCCCGGACAGGTGAGCGCTGCGACTTGGGCTGCCCTTGGCTACGTTGCCGGCTTCCCGCAGGGAAGGAAGAGCGACCCTTCCGGGCTGTATACTTCGTTTCCTGCCCTCGGCTCCCAGGTCCCAGCCTATTTTCAGAGCTGTGGCACTTTAGGCGCACAGTGTAAGACTTCAGATTTAAGTGGATCTAGTACCGGTTCGGAGGACCAGACACCTGCCGCCTTGTCTTAACTTGACCACTTCACGAGTTGGTGACCTTGGAGGATCCTCTTACTTTTGAGGGTTTCAGTTTTGGCAGAATATCTTCCAAAGTTTCTTTTAGAGTTGAAAATTTACTGATGCCAGGTGCACCCTCCTAAGTGAGGTAATGTGAAAGCATCTTTCATATTGGTGATTTGTTGTTTTTCTTTTTTCCTAGAAGTTGCTCCGTAGTCTACCTTTAGATCTCAAAAATTGCATTACAGAAGGTTGCATTGAATCCTCTCTTTGTGGTGCAGGTTTGAGTATTTTAGTCTGGGCTCTGTGATGGATCACGTGGATGATACCCCTAAAATGCTTATTGCTGTGTGGATATGCTCTTTTCTTGAGGAAGGCTCATTGCCTTCAAAGTTTTATCAACCAAATTCTCAAACTAAATAAATAAGTAAAAAGGTCCAGATCAAGTTTAAGGGTTTACAACTGATTGTAATTGAGGTTACTTACTTTGTTTAGTAAGTCTCACATCACTAGAGGTTTCAGATTTGGGGTTACCATTCTTAAATTCAGTTGATAACTGTTGAATGCCTCTTTTTTGTATCCTGAGGAGAAAACAGACAATTCACATGTTTATGGAACTCTCTTAATCTGCTGAGGAAGATGAATTGACATATGTATTATGAAGAATACAGATAAAGAATGGCGGGGGGGGGGGCGGGTAGTGTTAAAAAGGAAGCTTCTCCAGGAGTTGTTTTTGTTTTTTAAAGCTGACATCAGAAGCATGAGATGGATTGTGCTGGTCTTGGGGAGGGAGAAATGAGGATGGTTGAGCTGGAAGATCTAAAATGAAGGAACAGCCTGGACAGCAGGAGGAACACTGAGGCCCTGTATTGAGAAAAAGGAAAGTTCCTGTGTAACAGGAGGATATAAATGGTGAGGTGAGCCTGGCAGGAACCAGGTCATGGAGTTCAGAGGTAGAAGCATTCAGATAGTTGGGAGTATGATGGGATTTCTTGTTGAGAAATTTTTGCTATCCACTGATAGAAAATAAATTGGAAAAGGGACAAGTGTGAAAGTAGATCTGTTTGGAGGCTTTTGCAGTAATGCAGCCTACACATGAGGGTAGATTAGACTAGGGAAATTATACAGCAAATTCCTGTATTGACTTGAATAAAATGATCTCTAAAGGTCTCTTCTAACTCTTTAAGGTTCTGTGGTATTTCAAACCACTTATAACATGTTAGGTAGCTGTTTGTGTATTTGAGAACAATGATTAATTTTGAGACTTTAAAACGGTCCTCCAAACATAACTAATTAAATACATTTTTTAAAGATTGGCTGTATATCTCAGTGATAATGTATACTAAGAAAACACAATTCAATCCTTGGCACCAAAACAAAACAAAACAAAAAGTAAATGCATAGAATCAAGTTCAGTAAAAACATGCTCAGAAGGATATAAACATTGTAGGAAGATGCCTATTTTAATAGTGGAATCCTGTCATTAAACTTTTATATGTTTGTAGGATTGTGCCACGTTGACAAAAGTTTAAATCACTGGAAAGTTGCATAATCTAGGAACTTGATGAACTTTGGTCTAAAATGATCTTGTATTTGAGAACTGATTCTAATCTTCTATTTGAGAACTGATTTAAATCACATTATTTTTCCCCAAATACATTCAGGTATTTATATGAAAAACTTGCATTTTGCCAGGCACAGAGGTAGATATTGGGGTATTACTGAAACAAGATTATTTTTCTCTTTCCAGCGCGCTCAAGTTAGAACATCTCCGTCACTAGGTGACTGACATTTTATGCTTCCTAACTAGAATGTCTCAAACTACACCTTTTGTGTTATAAAAGGGTTCACAAGGCTGGCATACTGACAGTTTTTATTTCATGGGATATTAATAAATTAATGAAAGACTGTACAATGCTTGGAGTCAGGTAGTAAATGAAATATGTATTCACAAGTACATTGTCAGTATGGTTCTGGCTCAAGGTAGTAAGTATAGGGATGAACTAGAATAGAATTTACTTCTCAGGAGACACAGAGTTCTCTTTTAGGATGGACTAAATCAGATATCTAGTCTTAAACTGAAATCCATTGAAAACTCAGAAAGTCTCTGGACCTTTTGAAGGTCCTTTGGACACTATTTTTCAGTAGTACATAAAATTGAGCCAGCCAACCTGCTCCTATTTCATGCTACTTCAGGTTTCCATAAGCTGTCTTCTTCGTACTAAATTGGATCTCCCAAGTCTGTCATCACTTCTGGGTTGGGAGAGATGAGATAAGGCTTCAGCATCTTTGCCTTTTGAAAACTATCCATATTGGAAGATACAACTGCAGGTTGAAGTTCATACATTCAGTATTCTCTGATCATGCTAAGGATAAAGTGACTTCTCCCTCTTGTAAACTCAGTACTTTAGGTTCTTCATCCAGTATATCTGTGGGGTTTGTTAGGAAACCAAAGCAATTCCTGTTCCCTTCATATTGCATCCCAAATTTCTCTTTCTCAAAGGCAAAAAATTTATCTAACTCCTAATTCTTACATTTTACGTCTATTTCTCTATATAAAGATGTGTTCTGTGCAGTATTTAATTTTAAAAGATTTTAAAAATTTAGAAATTCAAATATTGGACTTATTTTCTAAATTTCTTTTTGTTTTTCTCCCATTTAAAACAATATCTTCTTTCTCTTTTTGGCTATAATTTTTATGGAATTACCTTGACTTATTTGTGAAATTTTGTCTTTGTCTCATGGTTGCAGTATTTTCAAGGATCTTAATGATTCTTATTTTTCTATTTTATTTTATTTTTTTCCCTGAGTGGTCTGTTTCCTCCAAATTGATGGGTTGTTTTTGTTTGGTTGGTTGGTTGGGTTTTTTTTTTGGGGGGGGGGGGACTCATATGTTATGCTGGAGGCATTTCCTCAGATGTTTGGTAATCTGTATTGTGTCCTTATTGTTGAAGATGGAGAATAAAAAGCTCTTGGGAAGTTCTGTGCTCTTAGCTGGCACTTGTTGATTTTGAACTTAATTGGTGGGGCCATTTCCCTGGGCTGATCTCCAGCCTCAGGTGTTTTGTTTTTGGTAATCTTGGGCTTTAGTATGAAATTACATGTTTCTCACAGTTCCAAGACTGGTGCCCCCCCCCCCCCATTCAGACTCACCTTTTCTAAGTAAAAGTTTCATACCTATGCAGAGTACAAGAAGGGTATAGTTGCCAGTCTGGGGTGGCTGGCAGTCTTTTCTTTTTCTTAATACTTAAAAGCATTTTTTTTTATCCATTCAAAAACTACTTAATGCTTACTATGTAAACCGTTGTGCTAGTAATTTGGGAAAATATAAAGAAAAATCAGATCTGGATTCCACCATTACAAAATTCATAGACCACTATGGATGATGCATACAGACATTTATGCTGAGAAGTGCTAAAGGACACACATACATAGACTTAGTAATTTACCTAATATTGATTTTATTTCCCCCCCAGTACTGGGGATTGAACCCAGTGGTGCTCTACCACTGAGCTACATCCCCAACTCTTATTTTTTGTTTGAGACAAGATCTTGGTAAGTTGCTGAGGCTGGCCTCAAACTTATGATCTTCCTTCTTCAACTTCCCAAGTAGCTGATATTACACATGTGCACCAACCCCACCACCCATACTATAGATTTTTAAACATGTATTATTTTAAAATTTTCTCTGGGCTTATTGATAAATGTTTTCAAAATAACATTTTTAAAAACTCTCTTAAATGAAGTGAACAAAAATTGGCTACTACCAATTATCTTCCTTTGAAGATTTTTTTCATATGATTCAACTGATTATGAAGATTTTCTATTGGTTATCCTTATTCTTGTTCTGTGCTTTTTCCCCATTTCTGTAGATTTATAGTGCTCATAATCCCCCCCCCCCCATTTATTTTTATTTTGGTAAAATACACCTAGGGGGCTGGAGTTGTGGCTCAGCAGTAGAGCACTTGCCTCACATGCATGCTGCACTGGATTTGATCCTCAGCATCACGTAAAAATAAATACACAAAATAAAGGTATTATGTCCATCTACAACTAAAAAAATATAAAATATATAGCAATCTAACAAAATTTAGTTTTGTAACCATTTTTATGTATAAAGTTCAGTAGTATTAAGTATGCTTTTGAGGTATGCAACTATTACCACCATCCAGCTTCATAACTTCATCTTATAAAATTTATACTCATTAAAATAATAAATTCCCATGCTTCCTTTCCTTAGCTCATGGTAACCATCATTATGTAACTGGCTTTTTTCATTTAGTATTATCCTCAAAAGTTCATTCATATTTTAGAACTTGTCAGAATTTCTTTCTTTTTGAAGTTAAGTAAAATTCTGTTGTTTGTGTTGACCACATTTGTTTATCCATTCATTGATTGATAGACCCTTGGGTTGCTTCCACATTTTAGCTATTGTAAATAATGATGCTGAACATGGTTGTCTAAATATCTCTTTAAGACTCTGGTTTCATTCCATTAGAAATATACTCAGAAATGGGATAACTGGATCACATTTTTTTTTTTTTAATATGGGAAATTGAATCCAGTGGCATTAACCACTGAACTACACCCCAGCTCTTTTTCATGTTTTGTTTAGAGACATGGTCTTGCTGAGTTGCTTAAGGCCTCACTAAGTTGCTGAGGCTGGCTATGAATTCACAATCCTCCTGCAATCGCTTTGCAAGTCCCTGGAATTACAGGCATGAGCTACCATCCCTGGCTGTTTTAGTTTTTTGATTAGAAAAATCATCGTGCTCTTTTCCACAAGAAGAGTCTTGTTCTTGGGTGAAGTGTTCTGTTAGTTCTAGTTGGTTTATTGTGTTAAGCCTTTAATTTCTGTACCTATTTTCTGTCTGGTTGTTTTATTCATTATTGAAAATGGGGTATTGAGGTCTTCAGCAATTATAGTAGAACTATTTATCCTTCAATTCTGTCACTTTTTGCTTTGTGTATTTTGATGGCCTGTTATCTGGTGTATAAGTGTCTATGATTGTTTTGTATTCTTGCCATATTGCATTTTTATTAATATATAATAATGTATGTCTCACTTTTTTAAAATTAAAGTCTATTTGGTCTTATATTAGTATTGCTAATCCTGTTCTCTCTTGGTTACTGTTTTCAAGGAATTTTCCGTTGTATTTGTTTTTAGATCAAAAATGAGTCTCTTGTAGACAGCATATAATTGGATCATATTTCTTAAACCATTCTGCCCATCTGTCTTTTGATTGGAGAGTTTAATCCATTCACATTTATAGTCATTACTGATAGCATTTTAATGTTTATTTTCTGTATGCCTTATAGCTTTTCATCCTCATTTCCTGCATCACTGTCTTCTTTTGTGTTCAGTTGATATTTTGTAATAAAAATTTAAATTCCTTTCTCATTTCCTTTTGTGTAGATTCTTAGCTATTCTCTTTGTAGTTACCATAAGAATTGCATTGAACATGCCAAACTTTTAACTCTAATTTGAATTTATACAAGTTAAATTCAATAACATACAAATTCTGCTCCTTCACAACTCTGTTTTTCCCCCTTTTGGTTGTGGGTGTCAAAAAACTTCATCTATACATTATGCACTCCAAAACATTAATAATTATTTTAAATGTATTAGTCTCTTAAATTGTAAAAAGCAAAATATAGAGTTGCAAACCACTGCTGTATTACTAGATGTATTTACCATTGTTGAGATCTTTATTTCTTCATATGTCTTTGGATTACTGTCTGAGTTCCTTTCATTTTACTCTGCAAGACTCCCTTAAGCATTTCTTGTGGGGAAAGTCTCTTGGTAACAAACTCCCTTGCTTTTGTTATCTGGGAAAGTTTTAATTCCTCCTTCCCTTTTGAAGAACAGTTTTGCAGGGCATAGGATTCTTGGGTGAAGGGTTTTTTTAAATTTTATTTTACTACTTTGAATATATTGATACATTTCCTATATCAATATATTGATATAGGAAATGTATCAATATATTTCCTTCTGGCCTCCAAAGTTGTATGTGTGTGTGTGCACACACACGCATGTGCCAGTGCATGCATTGGGAATTGAATCCAGGGCTTTGCACATGCTAAGCACCTGCTCTACTTCTGAGCTATGTACCCTAGACCTTCCTCTCAAAAGGCTTTGATGAGATCCATTATCTTGAGAGGATCTTTATATGTGATGAATTATTTCTTTCTTAGTGCTTTCAAGATTCTCCCTTTGAAATGTGTCTCAGTGTGGGTGTCTGTGTCTTGAAATTTGTTGAGCTTCTCTGGATGTGTATTTTCATACCTGGGATTTTTTTCAGCAATTATTTCTTTAAATATTTTCTCTTCTCTCCCTCTTTATGTATATGGTTCTCTTGATTGTTTCCTATAGGATGCAGAGGCTCTGTTCACTTTTCTTTCATCTTTCTTCTTTTACTGAGACTTGATCATTTCTACTGTCCTATCAAGTTCACTTAATATATAACAATGGATTTGTAAAGTAGTATATACTCTAAAGTTCAGCATGAATGCAAAATGAAAATGAATACTTGGACAGTTATGTTCTAGGGTAAGGCACAGGACAAATATTTATCTATTAATTGTCTTGTTTTTCTAGTCCTAACAGGGGCTTTACAGAAATGCACTGTATGAGTGGCCACTCTAATTTTGTATCTTGTGTATGCATCATACCCTCAAGTGACATGTACCCTCATGGACTGATTGCCACTGGAGGAAATGACCACAATATTTGCATTTTCTCACTGGACAGTCCAGTGCCTCTTTATATTTTGAAAGGTCACAAAAATACTGGTGAGTATAACACTTTGGTGTTTTTCTAATTGAAGTTTTTAATCCCCTTGAAAGTAATATTTACATATTTATTTTTTCCAAGTTTTTGTTTTCTTTCATCTATAGCTATGGCTTGATAGTGCAAAACTTTTTGGGTCACTTTAGTTCTGTGAAATCTCTGTTCCAAATCTACTTGTGAATTTAAAGATTGATATGCTGGTATATATATGTGTGTGTGTGTGTGTGTATGATTTGTTTTGTTTTATTTTACAATGGTGGGGATCAAACCCAGAGCCTTATGCATGCTAGGCAAGCACTCTACCATTAAGCTACACCCCAGCCTATATATAAAAAGTAAAGTGTTTATTTATAAAAGGAAGAGGCTGTATAATTTTAATATACTTCATGGATTACATCTTCTACTATTTTGTGTAGTGAAGTTATGTAGAACATGTCTTTATCTTTTGGCTGTCATCTCTTTGCAGCAAATTGAAGACCAGGAAGAAATGCATTTACTAATCTAATATCAGTATTGAAGATTTTTAAACTTGTAAATACCATTTTTCCATAATTTGTATATATTCCTGGTTCTGTGGTGATTCTGGATTTATATATGGCAGAACAGCTCTTTGTTATGAAGTGGCAAGCTTGATCAGTCCATTTACACGGACTTATTTTTATATTTATGGCTGGAATAATTTGGGACATTACCCATAAATATTTTAAACTTAACTCCTTTGAAAAAATTGTAAAATGTTTGTATGTGTAAAATATTTCACACAGAGTGAAACAGATTTTTACAATTTTTTTATAGAAATCTGTAAATATATACAAAATAGATACTAGGGTTTTGTTTTGTTTTTGTGTGTGTGTGCATGATGGAGATTAAACCCAGGGTCTCACCCATGATAGGCAAATGCTCCATCACTGAGCCACACACCCAGCCCAAAATTTGGTATTCTATAATGAGTTATTACATAATCATATATACGAGAGAAAAATATAATAATCCCTTCCACCTCTGTATTTATATAGCTTTAAAAGATTATCAACAAGTGACCTATTTTTTTTATCTTTCCCTCTATCACTGTTATTTTAAAAGAAATTCTTGATATACTATTTTATTTACAAATATAGCAAAATGTAAACTTTAAAACAGGGATAATCAAACTTTTTTGTAAAGGATCACATACTAAATGTCTTAAGAAGTTTCAAGCCATATGACTACTATCATTACTCAGTTCTGCCACTATAGTACAACAGCTGCCATAGACAATAAATAAATGAATAAATAAATAAATGTGCACATCATTTAAACAAGTTTTAGAGGTAAGTTATTCTATCTTAGAAAAGTGATCCAAAAGAAGAATTTTTTTTTAAGTTAACTATTTCCAATGCACTTCAGGTACTCTGTACATAAGTGCAGTAATAATAGAACATTCCAGTGATTGAATTTACTGGCTCTCTTGGCACTTGAATTTAAACAAACAAAGAATAATGAAGTATTACAGAAGTGTTAAGTCAGTCTTTAAAAAAAGAATTTTAACTATTTGAAAAGCAACTTTTCATATAAATGGGAAAATTCACTTTAATTTCAACATCTAAACACAGAAGTTCGTGTATTTATTTGTACAGTAATATCTTTCAGTGTTTGTTCCTAAGAACACTAGTTCTTGTATGTGGATACATTATGCATCATAAGGATGTTTTGTGTTCTCATTGCAAAGACTAGTTATGCAATTCTAGTTTCGTTGGCATGGTGGTGGGTACTTTGTAGTCCCAGCTACTTGGAGGCTGAGGCAGGACGGTAGCTTAAGCATAGGAGTTTGGTGTCAGCCTATGGAATATAACAAGACCTCATTTCCCACTCCTCTTTTCATCCCCAAATTAAAATAATTTAATCTCTCTGAATTTTAGTCTCCTAATCTGTTAAATGGAGCAATATCTGGTTCCTGAAGTTGTTGCAAACAGGAATACACTTTTTATAGTGTTGGACACATGGTAAGCACTCAGTAACTTAGCTGTTGATACTCAGTCAAGGTTTCTGTCTTCTGCTGTGTAGAGAGAGGCTCAACACTAACCCACGTTCAAGACCTCATGTTACAGATTTTACCTACTACTCTTTGTCCTGCTTTCCTTTTCCACCTAATTTTTACCTTAGTATATTGTATTTATTTTCAAAGTCACGTATTAAATTTTTCTAAAACAAAGTAGAAAATAAGGAGAATATTAATTTAACTGGAATTTTAATCAACTTGGTTTTTAAATTTTATTTTTGTCAAAGAAAAAGTATTTTCTCTAAAGTTAAGGACCCTTTTTTCTCATTTCTGTAATTTCTATTTTTACTGTAGCCAATTTTTTATATGTTGCAGGAGGTCTGGGAAGCACTTACTTTTTCAAATGTTTTAACATATAAATCAGGGTAGGCGAGGTTCTTATACAATATAGTAACAAATAATTCCCAGATGTGACATAATACAGAATATATCTCATTCACCTTACATGTTCAACATGAATTAGTAAAGGGATACTGCCAGATTTTCTCAGAGACTCAGGTTGATAGGGGCTTTATCTTTACTTGTGCTTCAGCAGTTCTTGCAGCAATGAAAGGAGAACTTCATATACAGGAGGAAAATACCATCCCCTTATGTGCTTGAAAAGGGAGAACTACCGCAGTGTGCCTTCTGGTCCCTAGCTACTTAGATTGTTCTCCCTTCTGCAGGCAAAATACACCCACCTCCCAAACAGTCCAAATTCCCACCCAGTTACAGCATAAAGCCCAAAGTTAAGTACTTCGAAGTGATGTATAGTATTCTGAAAATCAGGGAAATGTTGTTTAGGTGTTTCTACATCAGGTCTATATGTAGTTCCTCTTTAATTCAGAGATCTGTGAGCTAAAAGCACCTATATCACCCATATTTGTATACTATTATGGAATGGAGAAGACCAAACATTCCCATTAGGAAAAAGAAACAGTGCAAAATAGCAGTTCCTTGTCTATTGCCATTCTGAAATTCAAAGGAGTGATTATTTCAAGAACCTCCTACTCTGAAAGAGATTTTTTTGATCAGTTCCTCCTGATCCTGCAAGAGAGGTTACAACCCTTATTCTTTGTGGCTTTGCTTTGATTCTCTGGAATACTCGTCCTTTTCTAAGATAATTAAAAAATATATTTTTAGCTTTTGATGGACATAATAACTTATTTTTACGTGCTGCTGAGGATTGAACCCAGTGCCTCACACTTGGTAGGCAAGCGCTCTACCATTAAGCCACAACCCTAGCCCTCTAAGATAATTTTTAATATTTATGATTTTGAGCCTGCATAATTTTACATTGAGATAGTAAAACATTTAATTAACTATTCTAATACTGTTGAACTTTGATCTTGGCTGCAGGTTTTTGTTTTGTTTTCATTTTTGTCATTTTCTTGAAAGTGACCCTAAATATTTACATATACAGGGTTTCAAAAATCACCTGCATTATCTTCCTATGGTTGTTTCTTAGAGCCAGAAGGAATTATGCAGCCCAGTTAGTCCTGTTCCCTCATTTTACAGACTAGGAATCTAAGGTTAAGCATCATTATCCCAATGGTCACACAGTTTGTTTATATCCAAGCATTCTGCCACCAGAGCCTGTGCTCTTGACCACTGCATTCTTCATCTCTATTGAGTTGAACCTCAGTTGGCTATTCACTTCACAAAGTGTTTTTAAAATTGCAATAATTGGGCTCAGTGGCAGAGCAATTGTCTAACATGTGTGAGGCACTGGATTCGATTGTAAGCACCACATAAAATAAATAAAATAAAGGCATTCTGTTCATCTACAACTACAAAATAAAAAATTAAATTGCAATACTTTAATAATTTGCAAGGTTAAGCATTTTTTCTCTATGAAAATGTATTAATTAATGACTTTTTCTCCCTAGTTTGTAGTTTATCATCTGGGAAATTTGGGACATTACTTAGTGGCTCATGGGACACAACTGCTAAAGTCTGGCTGAATGACAAATGCATGATGACCTTACAGGTACAGTATGTCTGTGTGAATATTCTAGATAATAAACAAGTATGATAATTCTATGCAACTTAAACTGATACCCATTTTACCCACAGGGTCATACTGCTGCTGTATGGGCAGTAAAGATTTTACCTGAACAGGGCTTAATGTTAACTGGTTCAGCAGATAAAACTATTAAGCTGTGGAAGGCTGGAAGGTGTGAGAGGACTTTTTCAGGTAAGATGGGGTAGACAATTTAATTATAATTAAATTTATTATATTGTTTCATTATTATTACTTCTTAGTTGCTCAGATGATATTTTTCTCAACAAATTAGAAGCTTAAAAATGACATTTGAAAAATATCAGTATTTATGAGCCAGTTAATTTGGACAAATGTAATTTTCTGACAGTTACTGTTTAGTATTTTTTCTAATGTTATAATGAACCCTCTCATAAAACAATCAAGTGTAGACTAATAAAAAGTTGTCTGATATGCTATAAAATGTGTTTGCTTTTTTGTGTTTTTTTTTTTTTTTTATTGTCATTTTAACAGGTTCAGGCTGAAAATTGAAGCATCCTTACTGATGGTAGGTCAGCAGTATAATCTTTAACTGAGTGAAAGCATCATTATTGTCTTTATTTTGTTGAAGTACATTGTTTAATAATAATAAAATTTAGATTTTTTTAATCTTGTGGGTTTCCATAGAATACAACTACACTGAGGTATCTGCTGTCTAAGTTTTAATAATTTGTTTGTTTTGGTGCTGGGGATTGAGCCCTGGCCCCTCTGCTGTCTAGTATTAATATAATTGATTTATTTATTTGAGAGGTATTTAATTTCGGTGTAAGTTTTTGTTCATCACTACCCTGGATAATACTTTGAAAAAAATAAAAGTAAAAAGTCCCTTTATACACATAAAAGTAACTATAGGTGGAAAATAATAAGTTATAATTAAGTATCCCTCTGTTTTCTGCATCAGTATTTACAATTTATATATCAAGTCTTTAATTTAGGATAACGAATCTAAATCAACAAATACTGAACATGAAAGTTTTGTTTTCTCATTTTCTTTATTAGGTCACAACATCAGAAAATGTTTTGTTCTTAAACTTAGGAGACACTTACTTTTTAATATATATTTTGATATATTTGAATATTGTGACTTTTATGAATTATTCTTGTTAAAGAAAAATTGTTAGAGTCTGTAAACAAGTCAAGATGGCACCTGGCATTTTGCAGAGGGAGTGGTTTGTGAAGTAATGCCAGCGAGCCATTAAGTGTGGAGATTCCTTATTGGTTGACTGCTGTATCTAGTTTATGTTAATTAAGATAAGCTGTGTGTAAGGTATATATACCCCTCCTGTCCTACAATAAATGGCTCCCACTCCTGCTGTATCAACCTACACAAGTTGCTCGTCACCCCCCGGTTAGTTTGCTGCAGCCGGACTACGGCAAAAAATTAAAAAGGAATTGTCAGGTGAACATGAAGAATTTTTGGAGTCAAAATACTGTCTCTGAAAGGTTTTAGGAAATAATTTAGAAAACAATGTGATTGAAGCAAAATAACTTCTGAAGAATAGAAAATATTGCCATAACTGAAATACAAATTTTGATTACCAGGCTTTTCTATAGAAAAAAGGAAAATTTTGTAACTTGAAAAATCAGTTTTTACTACTAATATGTTTTATAATTTTAGTAAACTCTATGGAGCCATTGAGCAAAGGATACATTTTTTTTTTTTTTTTTTTTAATGCAGGGCATGAAGACTGTGTAAGAGGTTTGGCAATTTTGAGTGAAACAGAATTTCTTTCCTGTGCAAATGATGCTAGTATTAGAAGATGGCAAATCACTGGCGAGTGTGTTGAAGTGTATTATGGACATACAAATTATATTTATAGCATATCTGTCTTTCCTAATTGTAAAGGTAAGAGTAGTGTATTCTTTGTATTAAAATTTTGTTTTGTGCGTTATTTCATTCTACTCTTGAGCTGAGGACAGGAGGGCTGCTTACTTAAATCAGCTTATTGTTAACTAAATATTTCCTAAGTATCTGTTTTCCCAAGTGGAGAAAATTATATTGCCATCTTTATATTAATTCAGATTAGTGGTTGTATTATAAAATGTTCACAAGTATCTGAGGAATGACTTTCTGTAATTCATTGGTACATGGTATAGTTTATAAGATGTGAAGGAATTAAAACGTGATTTTTGAAGTTGTATATAATTGACTAATATAAAACTTAAAACTAATTTTAAAACACATTGAGATTTAAAAGATCTGTATATCTAGAAAGATGTTGTTTATAAAGGTTATTATTTATGTCTAAACAAGTTTTTTTTTTTCCCATTTTCATTAATTTTAGATTTTGTGACAACAGCAGAAGACAGATCTCTGAGAATCTGGAAACAAGGAGAATGTGCTCAAACAATCCGACTTCCAGCTCAGTCTATATGGTGCTGCTGTGTGCTGGACAATGGTGACATTGTGGTTGGTGCGAGGTATTTATATTCTAGTCAGTCAATAAATTTTATGTATCTAGGCCTATGATAGGCACTAGAGTGTACAGAGGTAAGCCATAGGAATAGCAGGTGAAATGAGAAGACTGCATATTTCCATTAATTGAACAAAGTAGGAATAACAACTATTACACTAATGACACATGTATTACACTAATGATACATGATATACAAGTATTGTACTAAAAGTTGTACCGTCCAAACATTGAATGTAAAAGAAGTTAGAGGATGTAAAAATTGGTGTGGGAAAATTTTCTGAAGAAGAAGAAATTCAAATTGAATTTTGAAGGTTAATGAGTAGGAAAGGAAATTAGAATTTCCAACAAAAGATATAAGCTTCTATGGAGTCAATGTGATATTCAGAGGAGATGAGGGAAAAGGATGAAAAACTAAGGCTGGGAACATTAAATAGTGGATATGATGGGGCTTAACTGTGGGAAACCTTGAAAACCAGCTATTTTTCACATTGGTAGTTTAGGGTTAAGGTGTTATAATGCTCAAGCAAGAAATATTATTAAAGTGAACCTTGTGTGTCATTAAATATATATCTTAAATTTAACTAGATGTGATGTGACAGGAAAGCAAACTAGAAATCACCTGCAGCAGTAAGATGTGAAGTTAAAAATCAGTGATCCCACAATGGCACTGGATAAGAAATAAGATAATTCAGACAAAAATTATGAGAATAAGAATGAAAGGAAAAGATAATACTTTAAACTTTTGGTGGCTGGCAATTCCCATCAATAAAAATGGGAAAGTGGGACAATTAATTTGGTGCAAAAGTTATAACTTTGGCTTTAGACTTCCTCTGAGTGTTGGTCAGCTACATTCATGCCAGTAGATCATGGACAGTTGGAGCCTAGTTTAAGAACTGAAACTAAGGTAAAGATTTATCTAAAACTGCCATAAACAAACTATTGGTCACCTTTTTCTGAAGGAAGATGTACAGAGGAAGAAGAGAACACTAGGAACCGAATCTTGCAATACACTGTGGATAGATGGGGCCAGTATGTTAAATAGTACAAAGGAATCCAGATGATGAAATGGAGGGAGATTATCATCAGTGTGGAAAAAAGAAAATGCTAGAGGTGTGAGGGAATTGAAAATTAGAAAAGCATTAGGATTTAGTTTAAAAATTGTTATTAGTAACTCTTTTGATGTCCTACTTTGGTAGAAAATGATAGAAAAAATGGTAAGAGGAAATAAAGAGTTGTTTGAGAGATGGATGAAAGAAAGGATTACAGATTACTCTGGCATTGAAGGTAATGGGAAAAATGTGATAGCTGTAAGAAATACAGGTTTAATGAAATAGAACTCTCTTTTTTTTTTTTTTTTTTCCAAGTCAAGAGTTGGTTTGTTGGCTTAGTTTTATTTTCCACTAAGCATATTAGAAGTTGAAGAAAAAACAATTGAAAGAGGGAAATTGATTTACATAGAAGATTCTGTGGAATTGAGTGGGATGAATACAATTGAAAGTAGCTAACTTGGCTCTCCTATTTCAAAATTTAGAATTGAGGAACCATAGAAATGGAGTGATTTTTTTCGGGAATAAAGTTTGAGGGCTGCTTTGCAGTCTAAACTTAAGGCCATTGTTTTTCTTTGATTGAGGTTACTGCTCAGTACTAGTAAGGTAAATAAAGCCCGTGCTTCCCTATTGAACATCTTTTATTTTATAAGTATTAGGGTGGGTCTTTGAGCCTTGTATAAAGTAAACCAGTGCACTATCCTTTATAGTAAAAAAACCTATGTAATGTTGACTTTAAAAGTAAATTGCATAATTCTAGTAATTGTTATGATGGTAAGTAAATATTTAAAAGTTATATTAAATATGTATTTCTGTGTCCATTTTCGGTAATTTATAATATAGAGTAATGTGCTGGGGTTAGTATAGTGCTATAAATAAATACATAGTAACATTTCTCATATTCACAAATGAATTTTTGCTTTGGATCATTCAGGTGTGGAATGTTGATATACTATGGCAATGATTTTTAAAATCATTGTGTTTGTTTTTTTTATAGTGATGGTATTATTAGAGTGTTTACAGAATCAGAGGATCGGATAGCAAGTGCTGAGGAAATCAAGGCTTTTGAAAAAGAGCTCTCTCAGGCAACCATTGATTCCAAAACTGGTGATTTAGGGGACATTAATGCTGAACAGCTTCCTGGGAGGGAACATCTGAATGAACCTGGTAAATATTGCAGTGTTTCTAATAGCAGTTTAAAATGTCACCACATTTGCCTTTGGGAATACTAAGAACAGATAAGAAGGGAGAAAATGTTGTTTTGCTAGTGTTTCATTGTTATTCTCATTGCCAGATTCTGTTTTTTGTGAATTTTTATTACCACAGGTAACTGCTATGAGAAACTATGTTGCTCTTGCACCTATCTCACAGTATAGACTTTGAGTGATGCTTCCCATCAGGAATTTTTCCTTTTAATAAGAATCTCAACACTTAGCTCAAAAATAGTAAAAACTTGAAAAATACATAGGTAATACTTTTTGGCTAATCGAATTCCCTGAAAGAGTTATAAAGACTAAACACAAAAGTGAATTCAAATATAGTAATGTCTACAAGTTAGGGATCATTTGAGTTTGAAATCCAAGAACAAAAGTCATCTCAAGTAAAATCTTATGGATATATCCCTGACCCATTACATCATCACTTCTCAAAACTAGATTCATAGAACCCTGGGGATCTGAAATTTGTTAGGATGCTCATGAGGTCAAGGCTACTTTTATGATAGTAGATGTTATTTGCCTTTTTATATTTTGTAAAGGTTTGCACTTAGGATGCAAAGGCAATAGTGGGTAAAATTGCTAGCTCTCTAGCAGAATCTTTTTTTTTTTTCTTTTGGTAATAAGTATTGGGATTTAAGCCTAGAGGTCTCCCACATCCTAGTAGTACACTACCAATGAACTATGTTCTCAGCCTTTTATATTTTATTTTATTTTATTTTGAGACAGTGTCTTGCTAAGTTGCCCAAGCTGGCATTAAACTTATGATCTTCCTACTTCGACTTTCTCAGTAGCTGAGAGGGATTACAGACGTGTGTCACCATGCCCAGCTTAGAATCACATTTTTTAAGCCTTGTATTATTTCGTAAAATTTCTTTATAACCATTATTTTCCTTTGGTCACTTTCTACTAGAATTATTACTAAAATAAAATTCTCTTTTAAATCTCATGTATAAATTTTAGTATTAAAATTTTTCTTTCTAAATGTTTTCAAATTTTACTCTGCCATTCTACTTTTGATTCTTACAATTTTTGTTTTAAGGTACTAGAGAAGGACAAACTCGTCTAATCAGAGATGGGGACAGAGTCGAAGCCTATCAGTGGAGTGTTAGTGAAGGAAGGTGGATAAAAATTGGTGATGTTGTTGGCTCTTCTGGTGCTACTCAGCAAACATCTGGAAAAGTTTTATATGAAGGGAAAGTATGTTAAAGTACTTTCTAACTATCATTATCTTAGACTATTAGACAAATTATAGGTATTTTTTTCCCTGTGCTGATAAATTTTTCTTTGGTGCTTTGACATTGAAAACTATATTACTGTGGGAAAATTATCTTTTTACCTGTGTTGAAATAGATTTTTAAAATATGTCTTCCATGTAGAGGAAACTGCACTTAATAGGCAAGTTAGCCATAATCTGTCTTTTAGAATTCCCATATATAACTTTTCCCACTAATTTTGGATTGGGGACTTCTCTTCCACCTCTCATCTAATGCTACATCTATTGCTTAATGCCTGGGTGTATTTAACTTGACAAGTCTTGAGGGATCCTGCAGGGCAGTGCTTATAATGCCAGCAGGTTTTGGTGAGTAGGGTACCAAACAGCTGATAACTTTTCTCTTGAGATGAACCAGTTGGAAATCTTCCTTTGGTTCTTCCTTTGTCTAATAGAATTAATGTTATAATCCATTTCCCATCTCCTTTCTCCCCACCCCCTGTGAAATACTAATCTTACAGCACATAAAATTACAGTTAATCTTTATCTGCCAAAGAGGAAGCTTTTAGCATTGCACTTTGGAGAAAGTTTAGGCATTGTAATTATTAAAATAAAGAACACATTGACCTCTGTGTTATATATATCACTAACATATGAAATTTTTTTTTAATGTTCCCATTATAGGAATTTGATTATGTTTTCTCAATTGATGTCAATGAAGGTGGACCATCATATAAATTGCCATACAATACCAGTGATGATCCCTGGCTAACCGCATATAATTTCTTACAGAAGAATGATTTGAATCCCATGTTTTTAGATCAGGTGGCTAAATTTATTATTGATAACACAAAAGGACAAATGTTGGGACTTGGGAATACCAGTTTTTCAGATCCATTTACAGGTAAGTTAGGGTTTGTATTAACTCATATCCATCTGTGTTAGCTTTCTGTTACTGTGATTAAATACCTAAAGTTTTAACTTAGAGGAGGAAAGATTGTTTTTAGGATCAGGGTTTCAGAGATTTCAGTCCATGGTCATTGGTTGTATTGATTCACATCATGATGTGGGGAAGGTGTGATACAGCAAAGCTGTTACCCCATGGCAGACAGGAAGCAGAGAGAAAGCAAGAGAAAGGGGTCAGGGACCAGAAATAGTCCCCAAGGGCATGCCTTAAAGACAAAGTCCCTTGGTACCACCTCTTATAATTTCCGACACCTCCCCAGTAGTCTGTTGAACTATATCAATCCATTGACGAGGTTAGAGTCTTTGTGATCTAATCACTTCTCAAAAGCCCCCTCTGATTATGGGACTAAGCTTTAAACATGAACCTTTGGAGGATATTCCAGATCCAAACAATCAAGAGTTAGTTTTTGACTTTGACCTTTTTGAGGGGTGTGGTGATTAAACCAAATGCCTTGGGCATTTTCTAAGCACATGCTATACCACTGAGCTATATCAGCAGCTTGGTTGACTTTTTCTGATGTGTTTAAAACTATGATTAGCTGTTTAAATTCTTTTAAAAAATCTACAAGGGATTTTTACCTCACATCTATGATTGATATATTTTTAACCCTTGAATTATACAATTCTGTGTTTAGAAATAATTATTCTTTCAAAAATACAGCCTCACTGTAAACTAAATAAATTAAGAAAATTTGATTCAGTCATTTGAAATAAAAAGAAACTTCTAAGTTCCTTTATATAGTTCCCCTGTTGTGCTGGGGTGCTTTTAGAGACTCCCACATGCTAGGCAAGTACTCTATTGCTAAGCAATGCACCTAGACCCTAGTTTCCTTTTGTTGTTGTTGTTGTTACCAGAGGTTGAACCCAGTGATACTTAACCACTGAGCCACATACCCAGCCCTTTTTATTTTCTATTTTGAGACAGGGTCTTGCTAAGTTGCTTGAGACCTTGCTAAGTTGCAAAGACTGGTCTGGAATTTGTGATCCATCTGCTGAAGCCTTTTTAGTTGCTGCCTTGATTCCAGGCATGCACCTTAGTTTCCATTTTATAGTAATACTTAGTAAAATGAAATTGTTTTCACTGGGTATAGTGGCAGCAGCTGAGGAGGCTGATGCAAGAGGATCCCAAGTTCAAGGCCAACCTTGAGAACTTAGTGAGACCCCATCTCAAAATAAATAAAAAGGTCTAGGGCTGGGGTTATGGCTCAGTGGTAGAGCGCTTGCCTCACGTTTGTGAGGCACTGGGTTTGATCCTCAGCACCACATAAAATGAATAAATAGAATAAACGTATTGGGTCCATCTGTAACTAAAAAAATTAAAAAGGTCTAGAGATGTTGCTTGGTGGTAAAACACCCCTTTCACTGGGTTCAATCCCCAGTACAACACACAAAAGAAATTATTTTCACATGAAGGTAAATTAGTTAGTTGTACATCAACTCTAGGGCTGAATTGTGATTTGCATTCCACATGCTTATTTCAAGTTAGTTTTTAACATTTTATGTAGTATCTGAAATGTTATAAATGGGGTTAGGAGAGCATGCCAGTCTGTAAAGTAGTATTAGCCTGAAACTAAAATTCCAGTGATTTTTTTTTTTTTTTTCTAAGTTCTATTTTCTTAACTTTAATGGTTTTCTGTCTTGGTTCCAGCACATAAATATTAAAATCACTATAATCTAATATAAAAAGAATTGCAGGTGATCTCTGACCTAAATAATATACAATCAATTCCTATCCCATTCCTATATAAATTCACTAAAATTCCTGCTTTCACTGTTGCTATCAGGACGATGGGCATTAAATGCTAATCTTTTAGATTTTTAAAATATTACTACTAATACTAATTAAGTTAATTAGAATTAGCTTACTAATACTAGTAATTACTACTGATAATTAGTAAATACTAATAATTAGTAAAACTAGCATTAGTCTGAATTTTGGCTCCCAGAAAGTAGATTATGATCCTAATAGTATTACCCTGAGTTCTAGATCTAGGAATCTGAGGAAACAGAATGCCGCATCTTTGTTTAAGGCCTACTCTAAATAAAAATTTGAAATAGGTAGTTTATTGTTAATTTTTTTGTTGTTGTCGTTTCTTTGTGTGTGAGAGAGAGTGGGGGAGATACTGAGATGCTGGGGATTAAAACCAAGGCCTTCAATATGCTAGGCATGTACTCTGCTATTAAGCTATATCCCTAGCTCCCCATTGTCTTAGTGACTTAATTTTTCACATGGTAGTGATTCCCTTGATCTACAAAAACCCATAGCCTCTTCCTGTCTCAAATTCTTACATAGATCTGTTCTTCTCTTTTGGGTACTCCATGTTTCCACATTTTCTCTCTTCTCCTTCTAACCCAATGTAGATTGCCCATTTATAAAAATAAAACTAATCTCACCTGCATGTTGGCTTAAACAGAAGTCACAAAGTAATTTACTACTGAACTAAAAATGATTTAGCCCTCCAAATACATGCAGTTAACACAAAAAGAAAAAAAAAATTAGATGCTTAGTGCCTGGATATTTCTCTTGTTGAAAGTTCAGCCTCGGGTCAAAAGAATGAACTCTCAAAATAATAAACTCTCCCTGCAATGCTGGTTAAGCCATCTTGTGGGATGAGGGCAGGTATCAAGGCAGTTGGTTGTGCCTGGAAACCTAGCAACTCTTTGGCTTATTTTGCTCTTCCCAGATGTTATAAACATTCTTACATATCTTTTTGTGGACAACCTGATTATTTCCCTAGAGCTACTAACACAACATGTATTCTCATATATTGTATGCTTGTAAATGTATAAATGGAAATATTTTTTTGGTAGCATTCTTACCCTTTGTAATTCTTTCCACCACTAGTTAGTTATAAGCTTCAATGGATATAAGCAATTTTTCTTCCCTGCTGGATCCCTGGAACTGAGTCTACTGTTTGACACCTGAATTAATGAACCAGAGCTTCTCTAGAAGATTAACATTCAGTGCCTGTGGTTTTGATAGCAACAGCAACAGCAGGAATTCTAGTGAATTTGTATAAGAACAGGAATTTACTATATGTGTATATTATTTAGGTCAGAGATCACCTGCAATTCTTTTTATTTTAGAATACCAGTTATTTTAATATTTACATGCTGGGGCCAAGATTAAAAAAAAAAGCATTAAAGTTTAAGAAAACAAAACTTAAGAGAATCACTAAAATTTTAATTTCTCCCCAGCCATAATGCTCTATTATATTCATGTGACAGCTTTTCTCTTCAGCTTTTCTACAAGTTTGGGTTTTTCTAATGTAAGTATTATACTGTTTATGAAATTCAGAATTTTGGTAAACGTCAGCTTTTCCTTTATTTTCTACACACAGGTGGTGGTCGGTATGTTCCAGGCTCTTCAGGATCATCCAACACTATGCCAACAGCAGATCCTTTTACAGGTGGGATGCAGTTTTAACATATTCTTCTTTACCACATAGATAAAGCATTTTGCATTATGTGGTTTTACATTTTAGAGGTATTATCTAGTAACTGATAATTTCCCTTAACTACATTTTCAATTTTGATTGATCTCCTTTTCTTTAACTTCTAATTTTTGCTTTTTCCTGGAATAATTTTGTAGATCTCCTTATGATTCTTGAATAGCCTATTTTTAGAACCCATCATTTTCTCCCATGGTTCTTCCTGCCAGGAGAGTAGAATAGTACAAGAATATAGGTTTTAGAGTCAGACAGACCTTGGTTGAAAATCTGGCTCTACCACTTACTTGCTAAGAGGAGTTGGCAAGTTACTTAACCTATCTCAGCCTATTTTTTTTATCTGTGAAATTAGATAATAGGGGAGCCCATCAACCAAGACACAGCATGAGCGCCATCATTGGTGAGATGCTACCAGTTACAAGCAGAGAAGGAGCTGTGTGAGTCCTGATATTGGATGGAGCAATGCAATCAAGAAGTCAGCCCAGGCATATTTTACTTAGCGTGGGAGGAGACATTTCACCTGACTGCCCAGGATTAGTCTTCCTAATCTAAATTATTAATGGCCTTCCTGCAGCCCATGAAGTGTCTTTGTATCTCATGAGAGTGAATTACTTACTGAGGTATGCAAGCCTCAGTGTCAATACTACTGGAAAAAAATCACCAGAGTTGGACTTTAATGTAGCTGAAGAAGTCTGTATTTCAGAATGGCTCTTGATATCTTTTGTGATGCTGTTGTTGGATCTTCAGGCAGAGTTCTTGGACAATGTACCAAATTTGAGAAGAGATTCATAGCCTTTATGGAATCCTCTGGCCTTACAGTCTTAGTACTGTGGGCTATAAAAATGACCACCCTACGATCTGCTCAGCCATAGATTGGGCCAACACACAACCTTAGGTCAGTGTCGTGAAATTGTGAATTGCTCTCAATGAGCTTCCTTTTTCTTGTGGATGAACTGGTGGCCCAGACAAAAGTAGTTACACCCTACGCATTGATAGCCAGTGTACTAAAATAACGAAGTATCAAGCCAAATGATGTGGCAGTACCTTGACTATTAAGGAAGTCTTTGATGACATAATGTAATTTCAAAAGACCTAAAGAGTGGATAATTGATGACTTTATCAGCAGTTCTGGAACAGTGATGCCTTGAAAATTATTCTAACAGAGTTCCAAAAATGTCACTGGTGGCTTTTTTCTGTTACCAACAATATCAAAAGAATTCCTGGAACTATTCATCATAACCAGAGCATGTCTCACTGTTGCACAGTGTCAGTAACAGAAAATGCAGTAATTGTATAGATATGCAGATAACATACTAAATGTCTAAGAGAATTGTTTTTATGATCATTGAACTACACTTATATAAAAAATTAGATAAGAGCACATACCATATTGAGATATGAAAATTAAATGGCAAAATACTTATAAAATGTTTAGCAAAATGCTTGAAATACAGGGCTGGGGATGTGGCTCAAGCGGTAGCGTGCTCGCCTGGCATGCGTGCGGCCCGGGTTCGATCCTCAACACCACATACAAACAGATGTTGTGTCCGCTGAAAACTAAAAAAAAAAAAATTAAAATTTCTCTCTCTCTCCCCACCCCCCTCTTTAAAAAAAAAAAGCTTGAAATATATATAAGGAATCAATATATATTAGCTATATTATTATTGTTGATGTTGCACCCCCAAATAGCATTGAGGCCCCAAATTTCCCCATATGGCTTACACCTTAAATCAACCGTAATTCATTTTTCTTTTCTTATTAATTTATGCACTACTCACATTTCTTATATCTATTAGAATGATCTAAGAAACTTATTTAAATTAATTATCCCAATGTTGTACCCCCAGAGATTTTGATTCCCTCAATTAGTGGGGAGATTAAAAATGCTTATACTTTAATCCTTCACCCAAGGATTCTGATTAAATGGTCTTAGTTCTGGTTTGCTCTAATGTATCTCTACAAGTTCCCTATTTGTTTCTAGAGGGGCACCAATTTAGAGTACTATGTTATGAGTAGACTCTGGGAATCTGCCTATTAAATAGGTAACTGATTCAGGTGATCAGAAAACACATTTAGAAAAGTGTAGGACTATAGTCTGCTTTTTAATAGCATAATGCCTTGGGCAAGTTATTCAACCTAAAATATTGTGAATTATAATGGTGTTTAGTTAATATTTGAATGAATGTGCATATAAGATGCTTACCATGCTGGCTGACATAATTAATGCTCAACAAATCTACTTATCTGTAGTTTCATTGTTGTTGTTATTATTTTTGGCAGTACGGAGAATGAGCCCAGGGCCTCATGTGCTAGGCGAGCACTCTACCACTGAGCTACATCTCCAACCCTTTTTAATTTTTTTTTTTAAATTTTGAGACAGTGGCTCAGAAAATTGCCGAGACTGGCATTGATTTTGTAATCCTCCTGCCTCATACTCCTGCAGATATACGCATGTGCCTCCACACTTGGCTTTTGTTTATCGTTTTTTTTTATTTTATTTTTTGTTATAGTTTTTTTTTTTTTTTTTTTTTTTTTTTTTTTTTTTGTGTATGTCACACTGATTATAGCAACTCCTACATTATATACAAACTCAGGCCGGAACATGAGCTCATCTTCCTCCTTCACTCAAAGGCTAATCCAGTCCTCTGAACATCTCCAACTCTTGCTAATTCTGCTCTTTCCCTCTTTCCCTCTCTCCTTCCTCCCTATCTTCCTTTCTTCCTTCAATAAGACAGCCACAAGTATGGTCTCAAATGTAAACTGGGCTGTTGTCATAGCACCCCTAACTATTATCTAAGTCTCTTCCAATTGTCTTATGTGCTCGCAGGTAGCCTTATTCTTTTCTTTTTTAGTATAGAGTTCACATTTCATTTTGGAAAGCTTTCTCTTTAATCCACTTGTTTTTGTAACTTCCTGAATTTCTATAATTATAATGTATAAGACATCCAATGTTTATTTTGTCACTTGAAAATTACTTTTTTACCTAACATTTATTGGGCACTTATTATATGCAATGCACCTCTCTATTTTCTGTATTAAATTTTATAGCACATTTATTATGTATATAAAGGTGCTATTCTGGAAGTATGTCTAATACTAAAAATAAGTTATGTAAAGAAAGAATAGTATGGACTTTATAATTTGTAGTTACTTTTGCTTACCAGGAGTATTATTACATTGCAGGTGCTGGTCGTTATGTGCCAGGTTCTGCAAGTATGGGCACTACTAACATGACTGGAGTTGATCCATTTACAGGTATATACTCTTAATATTTCTCTCTCTTTTTTTTCCTCTTTCTCTCTCTTAATTTTTAGAATTCATTGGAACTTTTAATGGAAAAGTAAGAAAATTTGTATCGTTTTCTTGATTGAGAAATCTTTTCATAGTAAATAATTTTCTTGGCTTGGCTTTTAGAATTTTGTTAGAATTATCTTTTACTACACATTAGAGTCATCTGGGAAGCTTAAAAAGAATAAGCTCAAGCTCATCCCCAGAGATGCTCAGTGGTTTAATATTGCTCTAGGTTAGGACCTTGACAAAGTTAGTTTAATAAACTTTCAATTTGATTTTAATATGCACCAAGAATTGAAAACTAGTGTAGTAAGTTGGGCTTCTCATTACCCTTAGAAGAATCTATATTTATTCCAATCTCTGTTCCTTCATGCTTTCTTAATATGCTGAGAGTATTACTCACTTTATTGTTATCCATTGTTTGTTTTTTTCCCCTGTATCTGAGAATTATTCCAATCTCTGTTCCTTCATTCTTCCTTAATATGCTGAGAGTATTATTCACTTTATTGTTATCCATTGTTTGTTTTTTCCCCTGTATCTGAGAATGAACCCAGGAGCATTTAACCACTGAACCATATCCCCAGTTTTTTTTTTTTTTTGAGACAGGATCTCCACTAAGTTGCCGAGGCTGACTTTGAACTTGTGATCCTCCTACCTTAGCCTCCCAAGCTGCTGGAATTATAGGCATGCCACACCTGGCTTATCCATGTTTTCTTTAAGAAGACTAAAAAAAACTTTGTTTTTATGATTTAGGCATGAGATATTTGACCTTCTTCTTAGCAACTAATGTCTTTTTATCCTATGTATCTAGCCTAGAGTGTGATACAACTCATCACTAAATATATGCAGGCATGTTTTTCTGTTTTCTGTATTTCTGTAAAATGTAAAGCTGTGTCTGTGATTCTTCTCTATCAAGGTTGACAGATCTCTGGGCATGTAATTGCTATTACTACCATGTAATTACTATTTTATGTTTTGTGTGATTATAGATATGTATGTGAAAATATATCCATATTTATATGCATATGTGTATAATAATTTGAATAGCACATACTGTACAAGCAGCATAAAAGAAGTTCCCATAAGGTCATCACTCTACTTAAGAATAGCTTGGCATATGATTTTATAAGCTGATTTTTAATTTTAGAAGTAACATTGATTGGCAATATTAAAGCATAACATAATTAAAATTATGGATTCCTGAATGAGAATGCTTAGATTCAAATCTGCTTCTTTTTGTCTGTTTTACCATGAAAAAACTATTTGATGTATCTGTGCCTCTGCTTTTCTCATTTGCAAAGTTGAGATAATATCTACCTCCTAGAATTATTAAAAGCCAAAAAAAACAAAATTTATGTAAGCAGATTTTTGTAGAATGTGTTTGACAATTGCTAAATTATGTATTATAACAAAAACCAGGCTTAAATTAACAACGTTCCTTCCCATTTTCCAGATGTTAGTTTTTAGTAGTTTGTATCTAAACTGGACCTTTATATACCTGAGTCCAACCTGTCACCTAGATAAATGAAATGCCTCCAAACTGGTCTGTGGTCCATACTGTAGCCAGTGATCTTTTTACAGTTCACTCTGTTGATCAGTTTCTTGAGCATGGTATGCTGCTTTCTACTTCAGGAGCTTTGAACACAGTTTTGTTTGGGGATACTTAAACCCTTTGCTTTGTTATGTTATTGATTGTTTAACACCCCCTTACACACACCTATATGTGTCCTTTGCCATATCACCATTCTATCATGCTCTCTTTAAATTCTGTATTTTTCCTTCAGATAATTTTATTGTACTTAATTATTTGGATATTTATTTATACTGTCCTTATCACAGCTTGTAGGCTATAACAACCAGGAGTGCAGGTAGTGTCTTTATGGTCCATCTTTGATCATGTCAATGAATGTTTTATACTTAACAAATAGAATTCATTTTGTACACTTATTACTTGGTGTATTTTTATTTGCCTTTACTCCTTTCTATCCTTTATATAATCAGAATATTAAATCTGTCATAATTTTTGCAAAATACCTTAGTTTTACATTAGAACAAAAATGGAGTATAAATAAAGATTTAAAATGTTAAGTAAGATAAATTAAAACCAAATGAGGTAGCACACACCTGTAATCCCAATTACTCATGAGGCTGAGGCAGGAGAATCCTAAATTTGAGGTTGTCTGGGTATCTTAGTGAGACCCTATCTCAAAAATAAATAAAGGGCTGGGGCTATATCTCAGAGATAGAATGCCCCTGGGTTCTGTGTTTTTTTAAATTCAAAAATTAAAAATCTTTCTTTTCAATTAGTGGCTCATAGAAATAATAAATGGTCATTTTTAATTGTCCACTAACAATGAAAGTGCTCTATTGACTTTGATTGCTTTTGTGTCATTTTTTTGTTTTTTCAAAAGAAATCCCAGTATAGGAAAAAATGTAAGTAAATAAAATAAATTAGATTTAAATTATACTTTCATTGAAATAATTTTATTCCATTGAATTAACTGAATTGTCATCTGGTGCCAGCCTTTATCATCAGATACTGAATTTTGGTTACTGTAATAGAGACTTAATGAAATAAAAATGTTTAAAAGAATACAGGAATTTGCTACTTGGGAATTTATAAAGAAGATATAGAAAGTGATTAGAGAAAATGACAATGACTATCATTTAGAGTAAACAGTAAAAGATATGAGAAAGGAGAGATCATTATGTTAAAGAAGATAGGAGTGGAAAGTTTCATAATTGTTTTGCATTTAGACAGATACAATACCTTTACTTACTGATTTTATGTGGTGCTTAGGAGGATCAAACCCAGTGTCTCACGTGTGCTAGGCAAGTACTCTACCACTGAGCTCCAACTCCAGCCTATGTTTTGCGTTTTTTGATCGTTTAAAAATACACAATTTCAATTAAATCCTTAAAACAGAAAGTAGAAAATATAAAAACTAAAGGCCTTCTTCTACATGTAAGCTTCCATTTTCCAAAGCAAAAATGTTTATATCAACAAATATTTCTTGTGGATGGGCTTTTTTTTTTTTTAAGTTACATGTTTTTATTACATGCACTAGTAATTATATATCTCAGTACTTGTGAAAACAAACTTAGGAAAATCTCATTTTTGATCATTCCTTGTGATTGTCATGATTATTTATTTTGTAAATAGGGAATAGTGCCTACAGATCAGCTGCATCTAAAACAGTGAATATTTACTTCCCTAAAAAAGAAGCTGTCACTTTTGACCAAGCAAACCCTACACAAATATTAGGTAAGCCTTTTTTAATTAATTTTTTTCACAATCCATATACTGTTGGAAACACTGTGAAAGCTGTTTTTCTAAAATGTGAGAAATTGGGTACTTATATGAATAGAGGCTTCTATTGTGGTATTATACAGCTACATTTACTACAAATGTAAAACTTGGTGATGGACCCTTAATACTTTGTAAGATACCTTACCAAATAAAGGATAAATATTTTATTATGACTTTAATGAGAATAAAACTATAGGAGGGAAATATAAGTTCCACCTCACCGTCATTTCATGTTGTCAGAAAAAAGAAAGTGAGTAAAGCATTTGAAAAACAAAGATCTTATTTTTTTTTTAAAGAGAGAAAGAAGAGAGAGAGAGAATTTTTTTAATATTTATTTTTTAGTTTTCGGCGGACACAACATCTTTGTTTGTATGTGGTGCTGAGGATTGAACCCAGGCCACACGCATGCCAGGAGAGCGGGCTACCGCTTTAGCTACATCCCCTGCCCACAAAGATCTTATTTTTAAAAATTTAGTGGCTCATAAAAATAATAAATGGTCATTTTTAATTGTCCACTAAAAATGAAACTGCTCTAATGACTTTGATTGCTTTCATGTTTTTTTTTCCTCAAAACAAATTAACAGTGTTGTTTCAGACTAAGAGAATTACTATCTCTACCACAAAGATTATGGTGAAAATTAATTGAGATAATGTAACATTTGTATCTAAATAGAAGGCAGGGTTTTTGTTTGTGTGTTTGGGTTGCTATTATCCTTCATATTACCTTTGTAAAAATCACTGATATTGATAGCAATTTTCTTAATTTTTTTGGAGAAAAATATATATGCACACTTTTGTACATATATTTGAAGAAATGATATTAGATGACTCAAAGTTTTTGTGATAATAAGGACATAGATATTAAAGATACATGTGATAACTCTGAAGGAAATTATAAACACGAAAGTCAAAGTAATATTTTATTAAGTTTTAAAAATATTGTATGTCAAATATGCATATTGAACTCAGTATATTTTAAGTCAGTTAATGCTTTACTGTTTCATTGAGTCATAGAAGTTGGCATAATTTGACCAAAAATTTGTTATAAATTTTCTCATTGGGGAAGTAGGAGTTTGACTTTTACTTGGGTATATATAATATAATGTTGCTTTGAAAATCATTCAAAATGGTTACAAATACAGTATACTTTAGAACTAAATTAAAATATATCATTTTCTATTAAAAAAAGAAAGCGTCACAGGGTAAAATTAAAATGATCACAGTTATCTTTTTTTTTTTTTTTCCAATCATATAGTACTTAGCCAAGAAATACTCACAACCCTTATTTTTATTTCATGGTCTAGGCCAATTGCTGAGAAAAGTCTTAATGTCATACAGTAGGATGTTCTTACTGAAGGAAAAAAAATGCCTTTTATGATTATCTGGCTAACTGTAGTTAAGAGGATTCTGAAGATTTCTCTTTGGGTTTTAGGTAAACTGAAGGAGCTTAATGGAACTGCACCTGAAGAGAAAAAGTTAACTGAGGATGATTTGGTACTTCTTGAAAAGATACTGTCTCTAATATGTAATAGTTCTTCAGAGAAACCCACAGCCCAGCAACTTCAGATTTTGTGGAAATCTATTAACTGGCCTGAAGGTAAATAAGCACTCTTCCACATATAACTAGAAAGCTTTTATTTCAATCCCTACAACTGGTGTTTCAAGATTAAATAAAAATTAACCTGAGAAGTTTGAATCCAAATTGTGAAAACTTCACAAAGGATTCACTATATCATTGTAATTCATAATCTTGTCTTGATTACATGCCTTATGAGAATCTGAAGGTACAAGCTGAGTATACCTTATCTGAAATGCTTAAAGCCAGAAGTGCTTTGTATTTGGGAGTTTTTCAGATTTTGAAATATTTACAGACTTTACCAGTTGAGCATCCTTAATCTGAAAATTCAAAATCCAAAATACATTTTGAAAACCTGGCATTTCAGACTCGGCATTTCAGATTAAGAATTCTCAATCTGTATCCAGGCATGGTGGTGCATACATGTAATCTCAGTAGCTCTGAGGGCTGAGGCAAGAGAATTGCAAGTTCAAAGCCAACCTCAGCAACTTAGCTAGGCCTTAAGAAATTCAGTGAGGCCTTGTCACTAAATAAAACATTTTAAAAGGCTGGAGGATTGGTTCAATGGTTAAGTGTCTCTGAGTGTAATCCCCAGTATGGGGAGAGAAAAAAAAAAACAAAAAAACCTCAATCTGTCATGTCTGTCATATAATGATTCCTGTATATACAACAGTTTTTATACCATTTCAGCATTTGTGCATCCCCTGCAGGTGATCCAAGAAATTTTTTGTGATTTTTAATCTTAGGCTACAAACACTTGCTATATGATATTTAACCTCTCTATTATGTCAATTTACATCTTAATTGCAAAAGTGTCCTCTCCCCCATTTTTTTCATGTCATTTATTTATTGGATAAAAGGTCATTTTGTTCTACAAAATGTCCTACTTGGTAGATTTGACTGATTGCTCACTGTGTTCCACTGTATTTTTTTTTCTAGTAGCATTATTAGATTTTATTTTCATTGGCTTATTACTTATTTTCGAAGATCCTTTATCTTTTTTAAGATCCTTTGTAAATGATGCTGCATACTACTTTTATATTGTGGTGCATATAATATCAGAAATATCAGGTTTTCTCACTTGGAGTAATGCCAAGATTATTGCATGAATTCAGATGTATCTATCCAATCCCTTGATTACAAAGCTCCCACCAATCTATGAGTATTCTTATGGCATTTGTTGGTTGAATTGTTCTCTAAAAAAACTTTCCCTGTTCAACCCATTAGTATTGTTATAGGAATTTTATAAACAAAATCCCCATTACATTAATTCAGTTCATTATTGACTACTGTGTGTCATGCTAAGTTACCTTATTTTATAGCATATCTGGATTTATAGCAATAAATTCAGTAAATATGAAAAACCAACTAATGTATTTTCCAAAAATATGTGTTTTGTGGAGCAAGCACATGATTCTTTTTTAACATTTTCTAAGATGAGCATATCTTAATTTTGTAGCAGAAAGAAATAATCCTTTAAGAAAGCTTAATAAGAGCTAGGTGAGGTGGTACATGTGTGTAATCCCAGATGCTTGGGAGGCTGAGGCGGAAGAATTTCAAGTTAGAGGCCATCCTTGGCAACATACCAAGACCTTGTCTCAAAATAAGAAGGGCTGGGAATTGTAGCTCAGTGATAGTGTGTCCCTGGGTTCAATGCCCAGTACCACAATGAAAAACAAATTTTTTTTTTTTTTTTTATTAATACTCAAAGGAATTTTCTAGATTTTCATAAACATTAATGAAATTTTCTTTTTAATAGATATTGTCTTCCCTGCACTTGACATTCTTCGCTTGTCAATTAAACATCCCAGTGTGAATGAAAACTTCTGCAATGAAAAGGAAGGGGCTCAGTTCAGCAGTCATCTTATCAATCTACTGAACCCTAAAGGAAAGCCAGCAAACCAGCTGCTTGCTCTCAGGACTTTTTGCAATTGCTTTGTTGGCCAGGCAGGACAAAAGCTCATGATGTCCCAGAGGGAATCACTGATGTCCCATGCAGTAGAACTGAAATCAGGGAGCAATAAGAACATTCACATTGCTCTGGCTACATTGACCTTGAACTATTCTGTTTGTTTTCATAAAGACCATAACATTGAAGGGAAAGCTCAATGCTTGTCAGTAATTAGCACAATCTTGGAAGTTGTTCAAGACCTAGAAGCCACTTTTAGACTTCTTGTGGCTCTTGGGACACTTATCAGTGATGATTCAAATGCTGTACAATTAGCCAAGTCTTTAGGTGTTGATACTCAAATAAAAAAGTATGCCTCGGTATCAGAACCAGCTAAAGTAAGTGAATGCTGTAGGCTTATCCTAAATTTGCTGTAGTATTGGGGAATGGGGGCTGAGATTTTAAATTGATTAGTGTTTTTTTTTTTCCTCACATTTTTCATGACTGATTAAAGATTATTAAAAAAAATACTGTGGATTAAGTTAAAGTTCAGATCTTGTAAACTGGCAAGGAGGGGAAACAAAGGAGAAATAAAATTTTTGCACTGATGAATTGTGAGATTTTTCCTGTGTAATGTGGATAAATTTTCAAGAATATAGAAACAAATTAAGAAAAAACTGTAATCAACAACATCACCATCACTATGTCATTTTTCTCCATACCTTAGCCATTCAGAAGAATACAAGGGCTTTTATATAATCTGTTTTTACTAAACTGTTAGTTGTTGGTGGTTATCTTTTATTTTAACTTCTTCGATTACTTTCATTGTTGGGTTCTATGAACATCACTGACATATTTCAAGGTTTTGTTTTAGCATTTACTATACATTTTTAAATATTGTTATACGTTGAAAAGATAATTTCTTGATTTAAGTCATTTATAAATAGAAGGTATATTTGTTTTCTAGCTAATTTTTAGATGAAAAATCAAATAGATAAGTTAGATCATATATCAATTTAGACGAGAGGCCTTAAGTTGCATATAGGTTATATCTAGTTTCTTTTCCCCTTCCATGTTTGAGATAGCTTCATTTTCATTCCAGCAATGATATTTGTTTACTTTCAGTTATTTCCATTATTTAAAACATGTTCAATTTTATTAGGCACTATGTAAGCAAACCTGTATCAATCTATGTTATTTGAAAGTCTAAAGGCTGTTGTGTGAAATTAATGTCTTGGATCCTCCAATATGACCCACACAGTATACTACACACTTTGACATTTACTTCTCCAACCAGCTTTAAATGAGGGATGGTATTATCTCTGTTGCAAGTCTAAAGATAATGGAATGAATCATGATAGGAGAAAACAAAGAAAACCCAAGAGTGAGTTAACTATTAAAAGTACTATAATTTCTCAGAGAAGGTGGTCAAAGAACATCCTTTCTGAACATCTTAGCAACTAAAACAAAGAACCATCCATTAATTTTAGATGATTGGTTGTGTCTAAGACAATCTAATTTCTTAAGCAAATTTTTATTTTTTATGTGGGAGAAATGTTTTCACCAAAAGGACTTGGCCTAAAATCATGAGCAACATTCTTAGCATTTGTGGTATTACCGTGGGGGTTTCCTAGCCAATGCCAAATTGAACTCTGAGAAGGACCTTTTTTCCTAGCATGGGAATAAAAGTTTCTGATTCTTTAGATTAATCAAGGAAAAACTTCTGGATATCAAAAGGAAATCAGTAAAATGTAAATAGAGGGGGTATGTACCTTGATAAGTATTAAATCGTACCTTCTCGGTGTGCACCTGGACTTTAAATATTGTTTGCTAGCTCAGAAGCCTATGCTTTATTTTTTGTTGAATCAGGATTTAAATTGTTACATCAAACTTAAATGACAAAACTAAGAATTTAACCTGGATCAGACTGGTTCCATTACAATACGCTGCCCTCTTAATACGTCAAGTCTACCATGTAATTATAGGTACAATTTGGCTGCAATATTTTGAAAAACCAGGTACCCTTGAATAATTGGACATAGTCTTATTTAACAATATGAGTTCACTCTACACAGTTTAGGGGTGGCAAACTGTAAACACTGTTTGCCTTTTACTATGGTGAAATATTCTTATAACATTTTTATTATCTCATTCCATGTTTATACAGTTTAGCAAAAGGAAAAAAATAATTCCACTTGAAGGATGTGTTAAATAGTGGTTTAATTATTTAATGATTTTACGTTTCTTTAAACTTTTCTGTGATTCTCCTAATGTTTTTATTTCTAAATATAAAAGTAATAAACATTCATTGAGTAAAATACACATTCACCTCACCCCTCCAAATAAAAATTGCCTGTAATCTTATTGTCTAGAGAGAACCATTCTTATATCTTATGGCATGTTGATATGTATGTAAATATGTGTCATTTTTGTATCATGCAAAATGTTCGATCTGATTTTTAAACCTAACATATAGTACACATATCTCCACCTATTAATAAATATGATATTTCATTATATGAGTATACCCATGACCTACTATCTGACACTGTTTATAATTCTTTGCTATCAAGCAGTGCTATGACAAATTTCACAAGGAATATGTTTTGTACATGTAATTGATTCATCAATTAATCAATTTAATGAATGTACTTAAGACTGATACCCATGGCCAAATCACCTCCAGTGGAATAACTCTTAACAAGTAGTATACTTCAGATTGCATTTGAAAGTCCATTGCCACTGGGTGTGGTGGCATATGCCTGTAATCCCAGAGGCTGAGGCAGGAGCATGTGAGTTCAAAGCCGGCCCCAGCCCCTTAGGCCGCAAGTAACCCAGTGAGACCCTGTCTCCAAGTACCAATACCTCCTCCCAGCAAAAAAAAGAAAAGAAACCCCATTGCCTGCAAAAGACATAATTATTCACTTTTTAGATACATATGTTTGTGTTGTGGTTCTCTTATGACTAGCTGAGTTTGATATAGCAATCAATATATGACCAAATAGCAATGTGATTAAATGTTATATATTTCATAATCTTCCTAAGTGATAAAAGACGCATATCTGAAAATATTTCAAAGATAGTTCTGGGGATGAGTTGGAGATAGGTTCCTTAGTAATACCATTGTGTACATTATGATTATTCTGTAAGGAAATGATAAAATGAATAGAGGACTATTTGTGATGTATCATCATTCCTAGAGGTCTTGAGAGAAATTATCCACTTGAGATTAGAAAATGTTAATCTTCTAAAAAAGTAATTTGAAATTATTCAAATTTTAATTCATTTTTTCTGTAGAAAATTCTATGCAGTATAGTTATGACAAATACAATTTGAAGACTTTTAATAGTTAATACCATTTTACCATGAGTTTTTCCCTTTAATTTTTTAATGCAAATGCTCATACATTAAAGTGCTCTTCAATTTATGAAGGGTTATAGCCTGATAAATCTATCACAAATTGATAGTATCTTAAGTCAAAAACACACTTAATACACCAAGTCTGCTGAATATCATAGCTTAGCAACCCCAGTGAACTGTAGAGTATTGTGTGCTCACTCTCATGATTGTGTAGTTGACTGGGAGCTGCAATTTATTGCCCCTATCCAGCACATGAGAGTAGTTTACTACATATAACTAGCCTGGGAAAAGTTCAAAATATGAAGCAGAGTTTTTCTTACTTCTTTCACATCATCATAAAGTAAAAAAAAAGTAGAACCATTGTAAGTTAGGAACTATATAATCTACAATTGTTAATGTTTTGTCATATTTTCTCTCTCTGCATGTAAACTTTCTTTTGAAACTGCTTAAAATTAAATTGCAGAGGCAATGTGCAATGACACTCAGCTGTAATTCCAGCTATTTGGAAAACTGAGGCAGGAAGATTATAACTTTTGAGACCAGCCTACGCAGCTAAGTGAGAACCTATCTCAAAAAGGGCTGAGGTGTATATTATCCATTCATCTGTTTGAAGGGCACCTAGTTTGGTTCCACAGCTTAGCTATTGTGAATTGAGCTGCTTTTAAACATTGATGTGCCATGTCACTAGTGTATGCTGATTTTAAGTCCTTGGGGTGTATGCCAAGGAGTAGGATAACTAGATCAAATGGTGGTTCTGTTCCAAGTTTTCTGAAGAATCTTCATTTTGCTTTCTAGAGTGGTTGCGCCAATTTGCAGTCCCACCAACAATGTATGAGTGTACCTTTTCCCCCACATCCTTGCCAACATTTATCGTTACTTGTATTCTTGATTGCTGCCATTCTGACTAGAGTGAGATGAAATTGCGGTGCAGTTTAATTTGCATCTTTCCAATTGCAAGACATGCTGAGCATTTTTTCATATATTTGTTGACTGATCGCAACTGGGTTAGTTAGATTAAGTTATTTTGGCAAGAAACTCCATGGGTGATATGTATTTGCTCTTTTGACTTGATTGTATCATATCTGAACTTAAGGAAGCCTTCTGTGAAGTGTCTGTTCATTTCCTTTTTGCATTTATTGATTGGGTTTTGTCTTTTTGGTGTTAAGTTTTTTTGAGTTCTTTATATATCCTGGAGATTAATGCTCTTTTTGAGGTGCAGGTGGCAAAGATTTTCTCCCATTCTGTATGCCCTGTTCACATTCTGATTGTTTCCTTTGCTGTGAAGAAGCTGTTTAGTTTGATACCATCCAGTTTATCAATTCCTGATTTTACTTCTTGCATTTTAGGAGTCTTGTTGAGGAAATTGGTTCCTAAGCCGACATGGTGGAGATTTGGGCTTACTTTTTCTTTTAGTAGGTGCAGAGTCTCTGGTCCAATGCCTAGGTCCTTGATCCACTTTGAATTGATATTTGTGCAGGGTGAGAGATAGGGGTTTAATTTCATTTTGCCACATATAGATTTCCAGTTTTCCCAGCACCATTTGTTGAGAGGCTCTCTCTTCTCCAATGAATGTTTATGGCACCTTTGTCTAATATGATATAACTATATGTATTTAAGTTTGTCTCTGTATCGTCTATTCTGTACCATTGGTCTTCGTGTTTGTTTTGGTGCCAATGCCATGCTGTTTTTGTTACTGTAGGTCTGTAGTATAGTTTAAGTCTGGTATTGATGCCTCCAAGAATCAGGGCATTTTTAATAACATTCTTTATAATTGTAATATCATTGCACTTAAGAAAATTACTAATTTCATAATATCTAATATCTAGTCCATATTTCAGATGTTCTTGTTTGCCCAAAGAATGCCTTTTGCAACTTATGCTTTGAAAGGATCTAACCTAAATAATCAAGACTTATTTATTGTATTAGTTATATAGTCATATGTCTCTTTAGTCTCAATCTAGAACAGCCCATCTTGTTTTTAAAATATTATCTTTGAAGAGCCTAGGCTACTCTAGAATGTGAAGCCCCACAGTTTTTATTTATACTATATACTTCTAAAATCCTTATGTATTATCTATTTTTGCTTAATCAATCACTCCAAAAATTAATGGCTTAAAAAATATGGACTGGGAGGTATAGTTCAGCCACAGGCTACTTGCCGTACACGCACAAATCCCTGGGTTTGATCTTGAACACTTAAAAAAAAAATTCCCCCCACTTATCTCACAGCTGCTAGCCGAATCCTCTCATTTGTTTCACATGACACTAAATCATGGCATCAGTTAAGGCTGATAAGTCACTTTTAAAGGCTCTGGGGACAGATTTATTTTGAAGCTCACATGAAGCTGATGTTCATGTCTTCTTGGGTCCTTGAACTGAGTTTCCAGCTAACTGTTGGCCAGAATGGTTGTCCTTGTGTTTTGTTTTTCTTTTTCTTTGGTCAACACGACAGTTTGCTTTATCAGAGCCAATAAGAGAGAGTCTGCTAGCAGGACCAAAGTTGGAATCTTTAAAACCTAATCAAAAAGTCATATCTCAGTATTAAGTATTCTGTTGGTTGGAAACAGGTTACTCAAAGAGGGTGGATTACTAAAGGCTCTGAATACCAGAGATAGGATCCTTGGACACCATCTTAAGAGTCTGCATATGAAAACTGTTTCCTATAAACTGAACTGAAAGCTACAGCCAGAGACTTGGTTAGATTAAGAGGAAATTATTTTGGCAAGAAATTCTATAGGTGATATGTATTCTTTTTATTATTATTTTTATTTATATGTGACAGCGGAATGTATTACAATTCTTGCTACACATATAGAGCACAATTTTTCATATCTCTGGTTGTATACAAATATATTCACACCAATTCGTGTCTTTATACATTTACTTTGGATAATAATGTCCATCACATTCCACCATCATTTCCAACTCCATGCCCCCTCCCTTCCCCTCCAACCTGTCTGCCCTATCTAGAGTTCCTCTATTCCTCCCACGCTCCCTCTCCCTATCCCACTATGAATCAGCCTCCTTAAGGCCCTTCTGTAAAACAGATATTACCTGGTATTCATCCTAGCATTAAAATGAGTTGCTGGGGCTTCACATTTTTCCCTAAAGGAATATTTTAGGGACTTTTAACACAAAAGAGCCAAAATTGACTCAAGGGACACCTTGAGGAGTTAAGCTCATGAGCAGAACGTTTGACTCACATTCCCTTTGGTCACAATCAAAAGACTATAGGAAACTGCTCATGGGAGCATGGGCTTTCTCTTAAAGAACATCACCACTCCCCCACCCGCGCCAAAACTCCAGGTGGATTTATGTAGCATACTTAGGACAATGGGCCCACAAGATGTGGGACAACCCCAAATCACAATTGCCCAAATGGGGTCTTTTGAACCCAAAATTGATATATTTGTGCAGTCAATTGCAAAAAGTTAGTTTTAAAAACAGAGTGGGAAAATTACTTTTAGTGGTACCTAGAAGTATCCAAAAGAAATTCAAAGAATAGTCCTTCTCCAGGAAATGAAAAAGAAATTGTCAGAATTTATTTCAGAACCAAAAAAGGGAGATACCTGGATTTTAAAAAGTTCCAGAAACTTCTACCACCTTCGATGCTCCTCTTGCTCCCCTCCCAGCTGCTCCTTAAGCACCCCTTTTACATCTCTTGTTAAAACTTTCCATACCAAATCTACCCTGTTCTCCATCTCTTCCTGAGGTAATACTTCCTTCTTTTTATCCTCTTCCTCTTCCAGACAAAACCCAATCTGCTAGAGTCAGCCAACCAAGACTTGTGTTCTGGCTGTTCCTTTCAGGAAAAGTCAGTAACTGGTAGAGGAGCACCAACCTTAATATTATGAACTCTGGAATAAATCTGAATTTGAAAGAACTGTCAGACTAGGTGTGATGGCATATACCTGTAATTGAAGCTACTTACAAAACTGATGTAGACGGATCACAAGTTCAAGTCCACTTGGACAAATTAGCAAGATTCTGACTAAAAATAAAAAGGGCTGGAGATGTAGCTCAGTATTAGAGTGTTTGCCTAGCATGCACTAAGGCCCTGGGTACAATACCCAATACAAAAAAAAAAGAAAAGAAGAGTATTGTTAGGGATTTTCCTGATCCAACCAAGGCCCCCATAGGATTTGCTAGAGAATTTGACCTAAATATCCAAACTTTTGATCCAACCTTTATCGGTTGGTTCACATGTTAGTTTCTGAAGGAAGAGCTAAAGAATGGTTAAAAAAGCAAACTGGTATAATCCATTAGAGGATTTTAACAATGTAGATGCAAAAAGCTGTAACCAATCTTGCACTTTAACTTTTCCAAAAGGTGGTAAATTGAAAGAGAGAATGAGAGAGCAATGACAACAAAATGCAGACAAATCTGTGCTTATTACAAACTTTCTTTGGGAAAAAAACTTTCAAAGGCTATTTTGGAATGGCTGATGGTCAAGTTTTAGACCTATTAGAAACAATAAAAAAATCATTGACTATTATACATTCCTGGACATTCAAAAGTAGATTCCCCTGAAAAGAAAAGCAGTCATCTAGTAGATGTTATGCATCCTCGATCTAAAGGACAAATTTATTGAACAGCCTTCATAGTTACTATTAAAAGAGGTACAAAAGTCCCTGAGAAGCACTTACAAATACAAAATAGTAAAGGAACAACTATCCCCTTTAAAATTACTGTATGGTACCCCAAATGACAGACCAATTCTCCCCGTGGGATTTTAGTTACACTTCTTACAACATATCCATGAGTGAACTCATTGGAATCCTGACATAATGATAACCTGGGTATAACAATATTATTGGAAAACATCTATTATAGTTGCTCAAAGGGTGTATTCCCATTGCACTGTCTGTCCCAAATGTAACCCTGGAAAGCTATTTATGGGTCACAAGGACAATTCCTTTGCCCCTGGGACCTTTTGAGATATGACAATCAAAATTTGTTCATTTGATACCATATCAGGGATATGAATACACTTTGGTAATGATTTGCACTTTTTCTCATTGGGTTGAAGTACTTCTATGCTACAGAGTCACGGCCCAAATGGTAGGAAAAATCCTACTAGAAAAGAATATTTCTTCTTGGGGAGTCCCTTCTGAATTCCACTCTTAATGGCAAATACATTCCTTTAGCTAAATAATTCAGCCTATTTGTAGGTGAATGGCCAATGTTTCAACATTTTCATTATGCTTATCATCTTCAGTCATCGGACATGGTAGAATACATAAATGGAATAGTGGAATTGGTAGAATAGATAAATGAAATAGCAACAATCCAACAGGCAGAATTGACAGTTTTAAAAAATGTTTTATTAAGACATTGTACATAATTGTGGGGTTCATTTTGACATTTTCATACATGCATGGAATATAATTTGCTCCATTTTAGTCCCCAGTAATTCCTCTCTTCCACCCCCCACGTTCCCAATGTTCCCCTTCCTCTACTTCACTGGTCTTCTATTTTTTTAAATTGATGCTTTATAGATATGCATAACGGTGGAATTACTGTGGTATATTCACATATGAATGTAGCATAATTTGCTCTTTTTCATTCTGCAGTTCCTCCCCATCAAACCCCTTCCTATACCCCTTTGATCTCCCTTCTATTTTCATGGAATTCCTGCCCTTTCTTCTCATATTTTGCTTTGGTTTCCTCATGTGAAAGAAAACATTTGACCTTTGACTTTGAGTCTGATTTATTTCACTTAGCATGACATTCTCCAGTTCCATCCATTTTTCAGCAAGTGACATAATTTCATTCTTTTTGGTGCCTGAGAAAACTTCATTTTGTGTTTGTGTGTGTGTGTGTGTGTTTATGTATGTGTGTGCATTACATTTTCTTCATCCATTCTTCTGTTGATGGGCACCTACACTGGTTCCCTAACTTGTGAATTGTGCTGCTATAATCATTGATATGCCTGTTATCACTACAGTATGCTGTTCTAGTTCTTTTGGATAAATACCAAGGAGTAGGATAAATAGGTCCACTTCTGTCAAGGTCTTACTAAAATTCTTGCAAAAAAAATTCAAAGTTGAGTTGTTCCATTCCTAGACTTTTGAGGAATCTGTATACTGCTTTCCACAGTAATTGTACTACTTTGCAGTTCCACCAGTAATGTATGTGTACCTTTTCTCCCATATTCTTACCAGCATTTATTTGTATTTGTGATGATTGTCATTCAAACTGATGTGAGGTGAAATCTCAGTGTTTTTTTTTAATCTTTTTCTTTTTTTAATATTTTATTTATTTTTTAGTTTTTGGCGGACACAACCCGGGCCGCACGCATGCCAGGCGAGCGTGCTACCGCTTGAGCCACATGCCCAGCCCCCTCAGCGTGGTTTTGATTTGCATTTCTGTGTTTGCTAGGGGTGTTGAACATTTTTTTTTTTGTATATTTGTTGGCCATTTGTGTTTCTTCTTTTGAGAAATTTGACAGAGGTTTCTAACCTTCCCTGACCAAAGACTATCCTGCTGTATTTATTCAACCTTTGTTCCACTCCATTTGGAAAACACCAACTTTCTCTTTGAAATAGCAGGGAACCTCACGAACCTACCTTAATATATCCAGGTCTTCTCAAAAGAGAAATTCTCCATTACTGTCAAGGTCTTACAAAACTTCTTACAAAAAAAATTGCAAGTTAACTAAGGATTGTTTTAACAGACAGTTCCTGGGAGACAAAGATATTATGAAAGATCACAATTTTCAACCTGGAGAGGTTTTCTACTGGAAGTGAAATCAAAAGACTCTGTATCCAACTTTTTAAGAAGGGACACAATCAGGTATGGTTATACAGTTCCTGTGTAGCAAAATTAAAGGGCATGGACTGGATTTATCTTTCTCATATAAAAAATGGACCTCCTCTGGAGTGGACCTCCATACTCACCAGAGACAATGAAAATTAACTCCTAGCAGAGTACTTTTAAAATTAAAATAATGTACAATTTAAAATTGTTTAATTGAACATATTAATAGTAATGTGAGGTTTCTACACAGGTATATATTGTGTGGTATTTAAATCAGGTTAAGCATATCTGTCACAGGTGAGTGGGGTGCTGAAGCTCCAAACTTTAGTTCTTGTCCGGATGAAAGAAAATCTAGAGTCAGACACTAAAAACCAAGCACAAGAATTTTATTTTAAATGAAAGTAAAGCTCAGCAAAGATTACTCTCAAGAAAGGAAAAGAGTGGGTTGCCTCTGAGCAGAGAACCCAAAGCAAACTAAATACTACTTCCAAATGTATTACTTATTTGTTGCCCTGAGAACTGAGGTCTGCCTTCTGCAGCTTTCTGCAGCAGTCACCAATCAGATGTCTAACTCCTCCTTCACATCAAGCAGTGGAATTTTTTACTCTAGTTGATCCTTTCTGGAACTATCATCGCAAGCATCCCATTCAGGGGGGCTTCATCTACAAGCAATTAAATGTTAATGTGGGCTCTGGGGTCAATAACTGGGCAAATTTCATCTTAGTACATCTGTGCTACTGAAGAAATTTTCCACTGATACACACTGATAAACCTATGGCCATAAATCCTAACTGTACAATGATCCCAGTTAACCCTGTCAGGAGTTATCCCCATCACGTTTCTTTCTTGACGTATTTCTTAATTGACTCCCCTCTTTTGCACCTGCCCCTGGCTCCAGGTTAGTATTTCTGTTGTTTTTCTACAAGTTGTTTGATTATTCATTAGTCTTCAAAACAATTTAAAGAAAACCGTGATCTTATGTTGTAGGTTTGCTTCTAATGCTGATTACTAATTACTACCTAACACCTTCAAACAGTTATCATTTCTTCCTGGTAGATTATGATTAGCTCTACACGAGGTGAAACTGCAATCATCTGGTATATTCTGACCTAATTTGCATGTTTCTACAGACTCCATGATACTTTTTTCCTTCTTACCATAATTCTTAAAAGGAATGTATAACATAAGTGAACAACCACCAATTGATGTCCTGTGTTATTTTTGTCAATCAGTGCAATATTTGAACAACCTGTTTGCTGTAACATTTTTGTTGTTGGTCTATAAAAACCCAGGCTTCACTGGGTGTGGTGCCTGCCTGTTGTCACACTCCTTGGGAGGCTGAGGACAGATAGTTTGAGCTCAGGAGTTAGAAGCTAGCCTGGGCAACACTGTGACACCTCTCAAACACAAAAACAAGCAGCAAAAACCCAGACCTCTCTTACGCCATTTTGGGAATACTTACTCTAGATAACTAGAATTCACAGCCACAGGTGGCCATCCTAATTTTGGTCTCTAATAAAACTCTCCGTTCTTACTTTCAGTGTGCCTCAACTTAACCTTCAGGTTGAAATACTATCATCAAATGTCTTGCCTTTTGAATGTCTTTTTTCTAAATGCCTCCCCACCCCCACCCCTGGTACTGGGGATTGAACCAGGGACACTGAGCTTCATCTGCAGCACCCTCGGCCCCATCTTCTTAAATTGCCCGTAATGGCTTTGGAACTTGCAATCCTCCTACCTCAGCCTCCTGAGTAGCTGGGATTACAGGCATGCGCCAACCCACCCGGCTCTGGGCACCTTTCGAAGTAACGTGATAATATGCCTAGAAATGACTCCTAATGAAGAAAAAGAAAGAAAAACAAGAGGCCCAAGATTCCCATTCTTCTACAATTCCCTGAAGTACACTTTCTAAAAAAAATTGCACCAGTGACGGCAACAAGATGAAACTATTTTTCCCTAAAATTTGTTATACCGTTATTAGTGTACAATTTAGAGACCAATGGGGAGCCAGCAACTACACCGTTGCTTTGTACTAACACCGAAAAGAGGTATCCAAAAGGCAGAGCAGCTGCAAAGCTCCACCTTCTGTCCTTTGTAGACGCAGAAACTCAAAAATAATCCCAACGAGGTCGCCAATACTGCGCCTAACCCGCACCAGTTTATCACCGCAATTGGCGTGGGCAGCGCGTCAGGTCGAGACACCGCCTCCAGGAACAACACACCACGGTCTGCGCCAAGGCCGGAAGTGACGCAAACCCGCGACGCCAGCGCTCGCCGTCCGCTGCTGCTGGAGTCAGATTCAGTAGCTCCGGAGACGGCGGGCTTTCCCGGATGGTTGCAGCGAAGGGATCATGACGGGGAAGAAATCTTCCCGGGAGAAGCGGCGCAAACGAAGCGGCCAGGATGCGTCCGCGGCACTCGCGGCCCCCGCGGCCCCGGACCTCGTACCGGTCCTTGCCAGCAGCGGCAGTGGAAGCACCAGCGGCTGCGGGAGCACCAGCGGTTGCGGGAGCGTCAGCTGCTGCGGCAACGCCAGCTTCAGTGGAAGTGTCACCGGCGCCGGGAGCGCAGGCAGCTGCTGGGGCGCTAGCGGCGCGGATCGCGGCGAGCGCCGGAAACGGAGGAGCACCGACTCTTCTTCCAGTGTCTCGGGCTCTCTGCAGCAGGTGCGTGCTCTCCCCTCTCGCCGCTTCCCGCAGCTGCCGCTGCTTCGGAAGAGGGAGGGCTACTAGACCCGGTGGGGCTGAAAGCCCTAAGGTCCACTGGTTCCCGAAGTTCACGGTCCTGAGCCACGGTGAACCCACTCCGATGTCTTGAACTTCCAAGTTTCCGGGTTTAGTGAAACAGTTAACTTTGTTATTTTTTGAACTTTAGGTTCTTTCCACTCGTGGTTTCCTTTTTTTCCGTAAAGAGTATGTATGGGTCAGGAGCTTGGTGGCCTTCAATGCCCTTGTGAGCCAGACGATTTATTTCTCTATCTTCACCTTTTGGGTTAAGATTAACTCCACATGAGAAAAATTGAGGCCCAGAGAGGTTAAGGAGCAGGAGTTGTTAGTAGCTCCTAGATTTGAATCCAGTGTCTGGCTCCACAAAAGCCATGTTTTTATGCACCATATTTTATGCAGGTTTACTAACATACCGCCATTTTTAAATTAATTTATAATTTATTAAAGAACAAATGAATTCATACTTAAAGAAAAAATATGCAAGGCTCTCTTTGTGCCTCCACTATAATAGTTGATAGGCAGCCTGTATGAGCTGAAGGAAGAACAGGTTATATTTGAGTAATTCAAAGGCCATTTTTCTGAACGGGCCAAATAAATAGTCTGTATGATCCCAAGGGCAATGTGAAGTCATTGATTTTGTTTTGTTTTGGAATTGGGTATTGAACCCCAGGGGTCTTTTTATCACTGAGCTACAACCCCAGTACTTTATTTTATTTATTTAGTTTTGTTTACATGGTGCTGGGGTTTGAACCCAGTGCCTCTCTAATGCTAGGCAAGAGCTTTACCACTGAGCCCCAGCCCTTAATTTTTACTTTGAGATAGGGTCTTGATTATTTGCTGGGACTAGCTACCAATTTACAGTCCTCCTACCTTAGCCTCCTAAGTAGCTGGGATTACAGCCTGCTTCACCTGTAACTCTTGAGACTCTGGAGGCTGACACTGGAAGATGGCAAGTTCAAGGCCAGCCTAAACAACTTAAGGAGACTCTGTCTCAATTTTTAAAAATATTTTTGAAAAAGGGCTAAGATTGTAGTCAGTGGTAGAGCACCCCTGGGTTCAATCCTCAGTGGTGTCCCTTCAACAGAAAAGAAAATGAGTGTTTTAAATTACTGAAATTACTTGGTTGCTTGGAATATGATTAAATTATGTAACACTTTTAGAAATAGTGGCTTATGGTAAATTTACTGCTTATGATATTTATGATTCCTAACATTGTATTGCTATTTTATTTATGTGAATTTAAGGAGAATGACAATGCTTACATGAAACTTTTGAGTAATAGCTACTTGAAGGAATATCCTGATTCACCAAAAGTCTAAAAGTATACTAAATGTTGACTGTGTTTTCATTTGTGTGTCCTGCTATATGTTTCCTTCATAGCTATTTCTTGAATTAATTGTGCAATAATACTGAATATTTAAATATTCTTTCCTGTTTTACATAAATGTGCAAAGAGGAATTTGGAAATGTTTAATAAACAGTTTGTTAAAGTGTTATGATGTTATGTACATGTTCTACGTATTTTAAGTAGTATTATTGAGAGTTGTATATTCTTTTAATTTTAGGAAACCAAGTATCTTTTGCCAACTTTGGAAAAAGAATTATTCTTGGCAGAGCACAGTGACCTTGAAGAAGGTGGACTGGATCTGACTGTGTCATTAAAACCAGTTAGTTTCTATATATCAGACAAAAAAGAAATGCTCCAGCAATGCTTTTGCATTATAGGAGAGAAGAAGTTACAGAAGATGCTTCCTGATGTGTTAAAGGTACCTCATTTCATTATCAGACTGTACTCATACATAGATAAACTTTGTAGCAATCATGTTACTGAATACAATTTATAATTGGGTGATACCATTTAAAACAAGCTACTAGAAGAGGTATAAGAAAAGGAATTTGGAGAGCCATTGATGGCCTTGTATATTTAAAAATGTGCTGAGAAAAAATATTTTAGAAAAATTTTGACACTATGGAAATAATTCTGTTAAATGCAGGCAATGGTAGTAACTACATAAGAAGTAAACAAATCTTTGTGATACTTCAAGAAATACTGTTGTATGACAGTATACAATGATTTTTGTAATAACTTACATTTCATTAAATTTTCAAGAGTTTCCATATATTTGTTTTTTAATATTTTTTAGGAAATATGTTATTTTGATTTTGCAGTTATAAAAGAGGATTTGAACAAGTTAAGCCCAAGATCATGTATCTAAAGTATATAAAGAATTGAATATTTAAACCTTTAGAACAATTAGACGTAACATAAATAGGCTATGATTAAGAATATCTAGAAACTGAATCACACTTTAGTTTCTTTAACAAACATGGTTTTATTACCATCAGGTGTCTCAAATGCATGAGTTAACTGACAGTTTTTCAGATTTCCTCTTATAAAAAGATATATGTGAATCTACTTGGGGCTTTAATAATTTGTTTTATTTTAATATTTCGTTGAACAAAAATTTTCTCACGATAGCAGTTTTCCTGTTGATATTGGACCTATAGTACGTAAATGCAATTTTTTAAAATGTCATTTTCTTTAGAACTGTTCAATAGAAGAAATTAAAAAACTATGCCAAGAACAATTAGAACTCCTGTCTGAAAAAAAAATCTTGAAGATTCTTGAGGGTAAGAATGCATATTTCTACATTCTGGTAACTTTTTATACTATTTTCAGCATAAGTCTTGGGTATTCTTTCTCATAAATGTAACCGTAAATTCATTTTTGGGGAATCACTGAAAAATATCTTCTGTTTGTACTGAAAAATATAATTTACAGGGATGTGGCTCAGTGGAAGAGCACTTGCCTAGCATGTGTGAGGCACTGGGTTTGATTCTCAGCATCACATAAAAATATATAAAAAAAGGTATTGTGTCCATCTACAACTAAAATTAAAAAAATATATATAATTTATATATCAGAATAGAATTTCAAGAATAAATTTGATATTTTTTTCTAAATCTCACATAGATAAGAGCATAAATTTGTACATTGTAATAGATAAAATTTAAAATGTCTGTAAAAATACCATTAAAAATTACTGAGAAGATAAAGATTTTCCTTAAAATAATTTTTAATTCCACTTTATATTCTTTATAACTTTTCGTGACATATTGCATGTTATTTCTGCTCTGATAAGACCCAGATGCAGAATTAGAAGAATTCATTGTGATTTGCCAATACTTGTATATCCCCTTGAAGTATGACTACTCTTTGTGATGCTGATTCTTCTAGAATTTTGGATTTTCAGGCATTTTTTTTTCTTTTGGAACATCAAAGATTTTAATATTGGCATCACAGAAAAATAAACAAAAAATGGATGTGCAATTTTAGACAGAACAACTTTTTAAATGTAAAACGTTTAACTGTGTGTGGTGGCACACTCTTATAATCCCAACAACTCAAGAAGCTGAGGCAGGAGCATTGCAAGTTGGAGGCTAGCTTAGACAACCTAGCAAATGAGACCTTGTCCCAAAATAAAATTTTAAAAAGGGCTGGGGAGGGCTGGGATTGTAGATCAGTGGTAGAGTGCTTGCCTTGCACATCTGAGGCACTGGGTTCGATCCTCAGCACCACATAAAAAAATAAAATAAAATAAAGGCATTTTGTCATGTACAACTAAAAAAACTTTTTTTTTTTTTAAATGAAAAGGGCTGGGGATGTAGCTCAGTGGTAGAGTGCTTGCTTAGTGTGCATGAGGCCCTGTGTTCAATCCATTGTACTGCCAAAAAAAAGAAAAAAAAAGAGGTTTAATGGATTTTATAGCTCTGGAAATAGATGTATAGGTAAGTATGTAGTCTTTAAGTAAATAAAAATATGTTATTGTGTGTATGTGGTGAAGGGAAGGAAATGAGAAAAAAAGCATCCAGATTCATTTTAAATACAAATAATTGAAAATGTAAACTTTTAACAACTATAAAGTTTTAAAACTTGCATCACTTTTAAAGGTGACACTTCTGTGTAAATGATTCTGACATTTTAAACAAGTTTTCAATAGTGTATTTCATTTACAAGGTGACAATGGTATGGACTCTGATATGGAAGAAGAGGCAGATGATGGCTCTAAGATGGGATCTGACTTAGTCAGTCAGTAAGTTAAAAAACTTTCATTTTCATTTCAAAATTTATTCTTTTGGCAGTTCCTAACATCAAGGATATGAATAATTTTCTGTGTTTTATTTATATTAAAATAATTCAATAATGCAATTGTTTACTTGTAATAATTGAGTATTTTAGTATATATGAAGATTTACCTAATTGCTTGTCAGGATTATAGTAATTTTTCATTAACTATTATACATAGATATAGAACAACAGTGATGCTAATCTGAAGCAGAATCACATCTCTTGTTTGGATTTTGAGTATACTATTCATGTTACTCACGATTTATTAAATACCTACCCTACCAAACACTGTAATGTCTATTAATTTTGGGTGACAATAGTCTGATTTCAGAGATGAGCTTGTAAGGTTTATTTTACATATGTTTACATAATCTTTTACATATAGGTTTGTGTGTATACATACATATTCATATTTACATATATACATGCATATATTTACTTATAAGTATGTGTAATTTGATTATTATGATGACAAAAGTGCCAGAAGTCTTGGGAAGCTTACTAATCAAGAAGCAATGTGCTGATTTTTTTTTTATTATTATTATTCTTTATTACAGCATATCAAACTTTCATTCACTAACTTTAATATCTGTTGATGATTACTTCCCAAAAATCAATTATTATCTGGTAATTGCCAAAGACCAACATGTATCTCTCTTTGCAAAGCCTGACATTTTCACAGAAGTGTAAGAAAAGCTTTGTTGTACAGGCAATATCACAAATACAAGATTACCAGAAGCAGTGATATAAATAAGTAGTACATACTTAAGCTGAAATCTAGAATTTTTTGATTTTTAATAGAAGACTGGTAAGCATCACCAAAAAGAACAGTTTCATGTTAAAACTTAGCATCAAATTATTTACTTTTCCTAAAGGATTAAAAAGGTGTTACTATATTGTTTGATTGCCTCATAATTAATTGATGGCTTTTGGTCATCACATGCATCTTGCTTAGGGTGTTCCATGGTGATTTATACTTAAATAGAAAATGTGCACATTTTTAATAGGTCTTATTATTGGTTTTCCTTTAAAATACGCATGTCTGTAATCCCATTTACTTGACTGAATCAAGAGGTTTGCAAGTTTGAGATCAGCCTCTGCAGCCTATGGAGACCCTGTCTCCAAAAAAAAAAAAAAAATTGTGCTGGGATGTGGTTCATTGGTTAAGCACTCCTGGGTTCAATCCTCAGTACCAAAGAAATAAATGAAATACTTAGCTGGGAATACTTTATATAATATACTAAGCTTCATCAGTTAGTAGCATTTTACAAGGCCTGTTACTTTTTAGTACTTTTGAGTTTCCTTTTTCTCTTTTGTGGAGATGGGGATAGAACCCAGGGCCTCATGCATGCTAGGCAAGTGCTCTACCACAAGCTACATCCCCAGCCCTAAGTTTCTTAAATCATCTTCATCATTTTGTTTCTTGATGTTGCTTATAGAATTCTAAATTGAATTTTTATTTGGCTGCATTAATTTTTCCCTTTATTCAAATCTATTTTTTCCAGTTTGGGGATATTAATATTTAATACCTTTTTTTCCCCCATACTTGAGCACTCATGCCACCTTTTCTACTGTTGAAAGCCATTGAATGGATGCCTAGTTAGAATAGAATCTAATTCTCTTAAACATTACAACAAAGTACAGTACAGTGCTTGACTTTTGAATTATTGTAATAAAAATCATTTCTGTCTGTCTCTTTAAAAAAACATAAAGGTATTCAGCTATTTCAACAAAATTTATGGGCTGGGGATATGGCTCAAGTGGTAGCGCACTCGCCTGGCATGCGCAGGGCGCTGGGTTCGAATCTCAGCATCACATTAAAATAAAGATGTTGTGTCTACCGAAAACTAAAAAAATTCTCTCTCTCTCTAAAAAAAAAAAAATCATGAATTAATTCAAAATGACTGTTGAGAAGAACTCATTCATGCAATGTAGTTATAAGACAGGTCACATGAACTTTTTTTTTTTTTTTTTTTAATGTGGTACTAGGCATTGAACCCAGGAGCTCTCTACTACTGAGCTAAATCTGTGCCCCATTTTATCCTTTGTGTGTGTGTGTGCGAGTGTGGTATTGGAGATAGAACCCAGGGCCTACCCCCATCCCCATTTTTTTTTTTATTAGTGTATTATACATAATAGTTGGGTTCATTTTGATAAAATCGTACATGCATGGAATTTGATCTACTTCATTTCAGGGCCCAGTGCCCCCTCTTTTTCTTCCCTCCCTTCCCCTGTTTTCCTTCCTTTACTGGTTTTCATTTTACTCATTTATTTATTTTTCTATTTATTTTTGGTACCTTATAGATGTACATAAAGGTGAAATTCACTATGGTATGTTTATACATTTACATAGTATAATTTTGTTAAATTTATTTCGCATTTCCTCAGCCCTTTTTATTTCTTATTGTGAGACAAAGGTCTCGCTAAGTTGCCCAGGCTGGCCATGAACTTGCAATCTTCCTGCTTCAGCCCCCTAAATTGCAGGGATTACAGGCATGCACCATTGCACCCAGTGACATTAAGTTTTTGAGTGCTATAGTGAGTGGGTTGAACAGTCATAAATACAGGTAGAGCATCCCTAATCCAAAAATCTGGACTGCAGAATCCAGACTTCCTGAATGTCACATCAGTGCTCAAAAAGCTTTGAATTTTGGATTTTGAATTTTCAGATTAGGGATGTTCAACTGGTAAAGTTTATGTAAATATCACCAAATCTGAAATACTCTGAAACCTGAAACACTTCTTGTCACAAGCAATTTGGATAAGGGATACTCAAACTATATTTCCAAAAGCTTATGGAGCTCCTACAAGCCAGATCATTGAGATTCTTCTGAATGACCTGAGAAAATCATATATATATATATATATATATATATATATATATATATATATATATATATATATATATATATGTATGTATATATTAAATCAAATTTCTAAGCTACAGAATATTAAGATAACATTGAGAATAATAGCTAACATTGAGCATTGTGTGCCAGGCACTATTTTAATTCTTTTGTATGCCTTCATTCATTGAATTTGTTACAACAACCTTACAAGGTGGGGAAGTATCATCATCATTCTACAGAAGGAAAAAAGAGGCCCTAGTTGATTTATGTGCCTTAGATTCTACAGTTGCTTGTGAAAGGTGGAGGCAGTGTTATTCATTTGTAAAGTGAAGATAACCCTCGTTTCTTAGAATTATAGAGATTAAGTGAGCTAACTTGACTAGTTTGTTCTTATTAATAATATGTTAATTATGAATGAGGGAAATGTTCTGCAAAGTGAAGCAAAGAAAATGGTAAAAGGAGATGATATGGAAATATAATGCCTTTAACCTGACTTTTCTTTTCCTCCTACTTCCTGGAGTAGGAAAATTACCTAAGTGAGCAACCTCATGCAGCCAAAAAAGGAAACATGAGTTTTTCAGTTGTCCTAAGACATCTTAGAACAAGTTTAGGCAGGGAACTTCATTTACCTTGGCATTGAGCAAAATCTGAGGCATGGGGTAAAGGCAGGTTTTTTTTCTTAAAGCCTTAGAAGCCTGCTTAAGAGGCCTTAGCTGGCAGAATCCTTTGAATCCTCTTGGAATGTATGACACTTTCCTGTTTGCTTTTGTGCTTAGAGGGACAATTCAGTCCTCAAACCTCCTTCCTGTACTTCAACAGAAGATTCAGTTTAACAAGTTTTGTGCTTAAAATTCCCATGTTTTCCATAATCTGATGCTTTTCCACTCAAAACAGTAGTCTGACCTATCTGGATGCTGGATGCTGAGTCATAAATAGGCAAAAAATTAATTAAAGGAATTGAATAACTTGGGTGTGGAAAACTAAACTGAATAGCTAGAACAGGCAACTTCTCTTGGGCCCTGAATTGATAGAATATAGGAAAGAAAACTTTAATAAGGTAATGAAAACCTTCAAGAAAATAAGAACACAAATATAATTTCAGAAACTAAAGAAATTCTGATTTCTAAATTTAGTAGACAGACTGATAAAGAGATTAGTGATGATTAGGAGCTGAAGCATTGTCCTGTAAGATCAAATTGTTTAAATAGATACAGGGTGATAGAAAAACCTCAAGGAAGAAAAAAAAAAGAATGTAAATCATTATGTGTAGTTCATGGGAGCCTGGAAGATAATTTTAGAAGACCTATCACACAGGTAAAATAGCTAGGAAAGTCATGATGAAATGATATTAAATGTTTTAAGTTAAATACTTGCCTTTAAGACTGTAAGTGCAGAAATAATGAGGAAAGATCTTGTTACGGACTAAATTGTGTCCTCTCAAGATTCGGTGTTGAAGTCCTGTCCCCCGGCAACTCAGAATGTAACGTTATTTGGAGATTAAAAGGAAAAGATGAAATTAAAATGTGATCTGTAGGGGGGAATGCCAATCCAGTATGACTGGTATGTCCTTATAGAAAATTCGAATACACTGATAAGACACTAGAAACTAATCTGTCTGTCTGTCTTTCTGAGTGCTTACACTTCTTAATTGGGGGAACTGCCTTGCTGGTGCAGGTGGTCCTATGAAGCTAATAGTGCCACACAGAAGCTTAAGAGAACCAGCTATTGCTGTCAGACTGAAAGAATGTAGCTAGGAAAGCATTGACAGAAATAGCAAGCAGATAGAAAGGAGAAAGTCCCTTCATCTTTTTTCTTCCAAATCTTCTTTGTATCTTCAACATTTCAACACAAAGGTAAAAGTTAAATAAAGGAGAATATAAGAATAACAACAAAGGATAAAAATTCTGTAAACTTTATCTTTGTAAAGATCAGAATATAGAGAAACTCCTTTTGGATTTGATGAAAGAAATAGGTAAAGAATAGTTTTAATTGTGATTAAGAAGGAAGGAGACATACCATAGGTATGTGTGAGTTTGAAAGAATAATGAGAATCCACATGTAGAATTGTGTACACAGACATGAAAATAGCAAATAAATGTGGCTTTTTTTAGCAAAA